AAGAAACACCACAATGTAATTTAAAATGTGAATTTTTGTAGAAAAAAATGAGATAAGAAACGGATTAAAAAACATCAACCGATCAATGCGTCTCAGAGCTGTGCAATGACAGCAATATGTATTTGAAACTCACGTGTAAACTTACGTGACTTCTAGAAGTGATGGACAATGAATGAGGTAGATGATGATGTAATGAGGTACGAAAATGGTTTTGGGCCATTAAGAAAGGTAAGTGTAGAATTCCAAAAAAATAAAGTACGACATGATGTGAATGGATGTTATTGCGTGGAGATACTTTACATGGAAGTTGACAAATATTGAAATGAAGTGCTTTTGAATAAGAGAAGATGCCAATTCGCACCTAAGATTATGAACAAACAGTATACGGAATAACAATTTATATTATATGGTATAGTCAAATAACTGAAACATTCGAGAATTAATAGTTTATAAACTAGAAATAGCTCATTGAACTATATGTTTTCTCTTTTGTGGGAGAAAAAAAAAGATAACACGATGGCAAAAAAAAGGTAAAAACTAACTAGTTTGCTCTCTCTCTCTCTCTCTCTGCAATCATACTTATACTCTCTATGGTGCTTCTCTCTTACGCTCTCTCTCGGATTGGATCGACTATTAAAATATAAAAAGATGAGAGATTAGTTATATGTTAGCCATTTAACTATAATTGCCAATAGATGAATGGGTCGGCTTTCTCTTCTCCTTTTTTAGAACAAATCCCGTTTTTCAATGAAGTTTCCAAAAGTTTTGCCATTTAGGAGGAGCAGTCAGTTGGTCATTGACTCCTCACAACAAGCAAATGAGGGCCTGTGGGCGAATATACGACTGTCCCGGTGAGGGAATGCATTCGTCAGGTCATGGAAGTGAAGGAAGAACATCATTGTTATTACAAGAAGGAGAATAAGAAGAAGATGGAGGAGGAGAAGAAGACAACAATAATACCAAAACCGAGTAAACTTCCAAGTCCATTTGCATGGGTTTTGTGTGACGGAATGAGGTTGCGACGGAAAAAAAGTGAAAAAGAGACACAAGAATGAAAGCAGGTGAGGTGAAGGGAAAAGCCATCGATGAAAGCATAGTCAAAGGAAACAAAGTTTTTGTTATCGGAGACAAATCTAGCGTTAAGCCCACATAAAGCATATCGCCTGTGGATCAAATACGTGGATAAAGAATGACTTAAAAGGTAGTTGAAATGACTATTAATAATGAGGGCAGAAACCCTTGTGTGGCTTCAAATTTCGTGATTGAGGACACGCACGGACCGTCAAATGCACCTCAATCGTAGAAAAGCAGAAACGATTGAGAACGGAAAAGGGAAAACGAATGAAAAAAAGCAAGCAGTTGACCTGCTGAACTCAGGAAAGGAACAAATTACTGACGGAACGCTCCGAGAGAATCAACTTGTGTGTGAAACAGCCATTGAGAAAACATGAATAGAATAAGCGGAAATGGATGGAGGTTAGAAGCTATGAACTGTCAAGTCGTTTTTGACCAGAAGCTCTACAAAACACAAACAAATAAAGAAAGACGTCAGGAAGAAGTGAAAAAAGAAGGAGAGAAAGAGAGGGGGGAGTGATTGGTCAGAAAAAAAAGAACATAGCAATCTCTAGACGATTAGCGACAATGCATTGACCCGAAATACTAAACTAGTACTATGGTGGTGGGGGGATAGTGAGAAGCAAGAAAAACTATGAAGGAATGTACATTTGGAATAAGAGTAGAAGTTACAACGAGAAAATACCCGGAGAAATAAGCTCTTAGCCTATCTCTCTCGCAGTTTTCGAATGAGCTTTCGAGGGCAGTACGGTTCGGATCGCATGGATAGTAGGAAAAGCTTTGATGGTATTGGGATTAGAAAGATGAATAGAAAACAGGAGAGAGAGAAGGCGAAAGAGAAAGATGTTCGAACAGGAAGAGGAACATGCTTTTAGCTTCAAGTAGCTTCAGAATGAAGAGTAAACGAACTAGTAAATAGTCACAAATGTTGGGAGAGAGAATAAGCTGAGAGAAAACAAGGAAAAGTTGGACTAATTTAACAAGCTTTCCAATCCTTTTTCATTAATCAGGAAGGTTTTCTCAAATCAAATACAAAAGAAAACGAGAAATACAAAATATGCAAATGAACTCTCAATATCATCTTCTAATCAGAAAAATATCTGAGGCAACTGAACAAATTTGATTTGACAAGGTGTCGTCTGTCACTTATCATATCAAGGACGTCTCTTCCGTCAATAAAAGTATAGAAAATTACATGAAGAAGCCTTTTTTTTCTTCTTATTCTTCTTAAAGTATAAAGAAAATATTTTTTTAAACTTTAAAATTAGAGCAGAAAGAACGAGGTGAGTCCTCTGCTGTCAATGATTCATTGGTGGCAAATCTATCGTACAGTATGTCTTCTGTGACTGAAACAAACGGAAGAAACTACAGAATGGGGATGTAAGGTCGAACGATTTTTACTAATTAAAACGTCAAACCGAACTTCAGAGTTGCACAGACTGTACTTGATAGTATCTTAAACCAACAGAATCATCACAATAATTACAAGATCTATGAGAATGAACAGCCAAGTGCTAAGTGCGTGTCGACCGAAATTCGTCAGATCGCAAAATGGGCAACAAACCCAAGGTCATGAGATCTCCATATAAGGAGGTAAGCTGTTTATGAAACTCCTTTTGTTAAATAAAATTTTCATTGTAAACACTAAGAAACAATGGTAAAGAGTTTATGGCGTGATGATTCTTATGAGAATAGCCATATGGATAGGAGTTAGGCTAGCTGGCGAATAAGATTCAAAACATTTTCGTACAACAGAGTAGAGAATGAAAAAAAAACTTTGGAAAGAAACTGTCACGAATCGCTTATTATAGTGTGCGGAAGTATACAGAGCAAAAGGCTGACAACAAACTTCTGGATGTTCCAGCTGCTAATAGAAGGATGATGGTCTGTTTATCGGATAGTCAGGTCAGAGGGAAAAGAAGTAAAACGAGGATAGAGAGAAATACAGACTAAGAGAGAGAATGAGAGATGAAATTGTCGTCATCCAATGGCTAAATACATCTTTCCTTCTAGCGCGTTGAGCGTGAAAATTGGGACAACATACAGTCACGGTCATGATGCTAAGCCCAATACGGAAAATTTCCTTGGACACCCATAGACGGAACACCCATTTCGCTTTCGATATTTGGACCCCATTTACCCAAACAACAATCTTCTTTCTTTTTCTTTCATATTTTCACATAAAATTACATTTCATTTTGATATTACGGCTTAAACGTTAAGCTTCCGCATCTATTTCAACATAAATCGTTTTAAAAATTAAAAAGATTTCTTGTGTCTGATTGTAACATCTGAACCGACAATGTTTCTGCGAAATTTCTCTCAAAACAAATAATATGAGAAACATTATTAATCAAACCCACTATCAGTCTTGAGACGAAACCAAATTAATCTTTTAATTTCAAATAAAATACAGTTTTGTCTTCCCCCATCCTATCCATTACCACAGTTTTCATTTTTCCCCTGAAGTTTGTACACACGCTGCAGTTATATGCAAATGTCATCCACGTACAACAGACAGCCAATAAGAAAAGAGCAGTGCAGGAGTTACTGTAGCACTTCCTTATTAGTACATGTGAACAGAACCAATGTTCTTTTCGTTTATTTTCGCAAAGAACTATAGCGCATTCAATTCAATTTCTGCAATCAAAAACATAAGCTTATCAACAGCATGAAACACTATAATTACAAATCATGACGATCTAATGGCGTGCTTGTTTCAAGAAAGAGCACTAAACGCTAACCAATCAACATTCAAATAGTTGAAAATGGGAAAAAGAGGGCAATATGAGAACACATTTGCATAATCATTACACGTACACGTCAACGTGCAATCCAGTCTGATTTTCATTTATAACGTATATGTAACGAGAGAACAGTTGGTGTTGGCAGTGCGCAGGCGGTTGAAACTAACAACGATAGGAACGATTGGAATTGACAAGGAAGGAACAATTGAAACTGACAAACAGGAGAACAGTTAAAACATAGAACGAGAGTTAATCAAATTGGATGAAATGTTGTGAAGGATAGGTAGAATTGGTGATTTGCTGACTTGGCTCAATGAATCTTGGGAAACGCCTTTGGATTTTTGGAAAAGAAGAAAAAAATGAAAACAACGGCAAAACGGAGACAAAAGTATCAAAAATAACAAAATATGAAAGAGAGCGTTTTTGAAACAAAAGCATCTATCGGAACAAACAAAATAAAAAAGTGCTAACCTCTTCCTCCTCAAATCGTTCTCTGATTCTTATCCAACATGGCTCTTATACTGTCTGCTTTTAGTTCCTTTTTTTGTGATTCAGAAACCATCTTAACATATTGAATCATTCCTTCAATAGTTCTTTCTACAATATTATACTGTAACTCACCTTTTTATAAGAAGATATTCTGCATTCACCAATTCAGAGCAAAGCAATTTCAGGCTAACGCCATTTCATGAAACTTCACCTCATAACAGCGAGAAGGAAAGGGAAGAAGACTGAAACAGGGACAGTCGACACCGAATGCAACAGCTCTAGTTATACCAACGATTCAACAAGAAATATTCTTCAATTTAATTAATTTATTCTTTTTTTTTTCAAATATGGCATCAAAAGTATTAATATAGGCTTATATACAAGTACAGAAAATACGAAGTGACCAGAATAAGTGACAATGTTCCGGCTTTCAATACCAAACATGGAAATGAGACGCGACTAACAAGAAATGTTTCGTGAAAATATTAAAACTTTTTGTGAAAAAATATTAACAATACGAGATTGACAGAATAAAGCATATAAAACATGTTAAGAGGGAACTCGTGTTCAGAGCATTATTATAACCTTGCTAATTCTAAAATAGATGGATCTTATCCAAATTGAAAGACTAAACCGGGTTGGAAGAATATTATGAATTATTAAGAGAACCAAGAGAATAGGTTCATACTATTAGTATACAGACTTACAAGCTCTTTGTCCCATTGCTTTTAATTCGTTCAATGTTAAGTTCTTATGACCCAAAAGCTTTATGAGCATTCTCTTGGAGCGCTCAGTGAAATAGTAATTTGATAAGGATCCTGAAAGCATAGAATGATTCAATGTGTTCAAACATTTCAAAAATACCGTTCACACGCTCGATGTACTTCTGGGTGTTAGTGCCGTTCCACAACAAAATACGGAGCTTCCTTGTTTTCTCGCCCTACAATACGAGATCATTCAAACTTCATTCATTACACATCACTTACTCTGCTTAATCCTCGGTTTCCAAAAATGCCATCAGATATAGCTTCGACTCTCTTAATAGAAAATCCTATTTGATATCCATCGCAACCAAAGAATTCAACAGAAGTATCATGAGGGTCAATAAGACTATTAACAATTGTTTCCCAAATGACTCCAGACTTGCCTCTCTTACGAGAAACATCATCCTCCTCGCTCTCAAGAACAGTTCCGTCTGCAATGGAACAAAACTGAATTATTGATTCCTTACATACAACATACCTGCTGATGAGGAACAATCGGCATCTTGGACAGTCTTGAAGAAATCATCTAATGTGAGATCCTTCTTTTCTAAGAAGAAAGACATGCTTTCAAGAGCTGTTTCAGTGAAGATGTAGACTGTTTCTTTTCCTAATTTGGCTTTCTTCAACATTCCCTTCTGAACTGCATTCCAGAGGTATGTGCTAATACGTCCTTTCAAATTTGGCTGAAGTTCAATGTTCAAGTAAGAAATACACTTAATGGCTTACAGAAGAAGCGTAGGTAGAGAGGATCTTGGTGGCAGCATCCATATCAGTTACGGTGAAACTAATTTTATCGAGAACTTTTGAAACGATGCGAATTGCGCCAGCACACTGAGGTTCCATAATAGCATCGCAAAGCACCGCCCATAAGGCGACTGTAACATAATGATTCATAACCATATTGGGAAAGAAATCTTACATTTGCTCCCAGCGGTAGATGTTCTTTCTTCACTGGATACGTCATTAGCTAGTACTGAAGATAAGAAAGTATACAATAACAAAAAACAATGATGTACCTGGAGAGAAAGGACCGCTTGGCGAGTTAGCGCAAACAGAGTTGGCGTTAGGTGGTGTTGAACAAGAAGACTCAGCATTTGATGGAGTTGAACATGAAGCAAAAGAAGATTCAGAGTAGAATCCTTCGTCAGATCGTCGACTCATGTTTCCAGAAGTATAAGCCATTGGTGGACTGTACTGATTGGTGTTGTAGTTCAACGTAGGTGCGTTAGTAAGATTGGAATTGTATTCCGTTGATGGCACAATAGAGTTAAAGCCATAATAATTAACATTGACGTCAGGCGTTCCATATAAGCAAGAGTTATCCATATAATTATTTCCTATAGTATTCGAATACATATTAGCGAAGTATCCTAAAAGTTTGATTCAGAAGGTTAGACTATTATATCAATTACTCACCATCCACATAGTTTTGAGTTGGTAGAGCAGGACTGAGGTTTGGTGCAAGAGCGGGGCTCAAGTTCGTTGTATTGCCAGAGGTTTGAACAGGGTTTTGAACAGGATTCTGGACAGTTTCTTGTACAGGAGCCGGAGCTTGAACTTGAGGTCCTTGAACACCAGTATAGTTTTGATTATTAACACAGAAACTGCTTAAGTCGTTAACAATAGTGTAGGGATCCTTATTATAGTATTGCTGAAAAACATGAGTAGAAGAAGTAACATGTGATATTCTTACAAATAGATTCGTTAGATAATCCCGATGTTGATTGGAGAAAGCATCAACAACCACATACATGGAAGGCATGGCCTGGAATAGTGAAATAAATTATTGAAATATGCGAGCAACCGATTGAGACACCAAATGCAATTTAAAATGAACTAGTATATCAGGTGTTAAATAATTGGGAATGAGAGCACAGTTTGAATATTTTCGAACAGGAGCACATTTGTGAATAATTCAACCAAATCCTACCATATATATATGGAAATCTTATGGGTCACAGCTGTTCTCACGAATGCTTAAATCATAAAACTTATAACATGAACACCTATAGGCATATAATAAAAAAATTTATGATAATTATCAAATGGTTGCCGCCAAGTTACATGAACGTTACATTCGCGCAACATAGAAACACTTTCATAATTTCAGAACAAAATATAATTAAGAAACATGAACAGCAGATATATTTGAATGCATTCTCATGAACCCGATTGGAGATCTATACAATGACAACATGATTGAAGGAGAGAGCTCATCTTCTGGTTCGCCGACTGAGCTGTTATAGTTTTGTATACCGAAAATACCGGGAAATTTGAAATGGATAAGATCGATTGAGATTTTGAGGATATTTTTTGATTTACTGATCAAAGAACCAAACAAGTTCCAAAGTACAGCTGTAGCTTACAGTTTCGAATCATAATCTGACCAACTATAACTCCCTTTACTATTGTCCGAGCTTTTTTTCGATGAACTTTTTTTTTCTCCCTGGAAAAGCATCCGATCATCCGAGAGAATTAAGCATTGGAAACTTTGATAAATATAAGATAGGAAGGGCACTACTTCTCAAGCTACTACATTCTCACAAAGATTATCAGTATCGATCGATAAACGTTATCAAATTATAATAAAGCTTTTCTTGTTAACAAGAGTTTGATTTGTCTTTTTCAACCCTGTTATCTGACATAAATTTTCTTTTTTTCGCCATTTTTTCGACATTTCCACTCATTCAAGCGTTTTTTGTTGAATGGTTTGATAACTTTCATTTGTTTCCATTCAAATGATAAAAAAACACATGTGCAATAGATTAGAAAGTCCGCCAACATCATGTTGCATTCTAGATTCAAAAGGGGTAATTAGCTGATGTCAGTATCATCCTATAGTACAATGGCTGGGAACGAATTAATGCCCATGGCTGGAAGTAGGTTTGTGTTTCACCTATTCACATTAAAAACTTCTAGTCTATATGACAATTCATTGAAATTTTTGAATTCATTTTTTTAATAACTTCGTACGGCTCATGTAACAGATCTCCTCCAATGAACGAACTCTTCGCTCCACGAGTTCGCGAGAGTGGCTCTATTACACCTGATCAAGCTCTCATTCATATGATCAAGGTTTGGTAATCCTCTAGTCTTGTCGTTGAAAAACGTTTTTATAGGTTATGATGGGTACAGGTATGTTGTCATTACCTTTGGCATTCAAACATGCAGGATTATGGGTACTGTAGTAGTAGTATTCTGTAGTTTATTAAAGCCTAATGTTCAGCTTGGGTTAATTTTGCTAGCGGGCATTTGCCTTATTTGTATATACTGTACACGACAGCTTATTTACTCTCAGCATTATATAGCCTATCTGTAAGTTACTACTATCTCCTCTCTTCCTACTCCACCTTAAATAGAAAAAATCAACAACGAATTGATTATGCTAATGTTATGCGATCAGCTGTTGAGATTGGTCCTCCATGGATTCGCCATCATGGATACTTCTGGAAGTAGAAGCGTTAAAAAATTTATTAAAAAATTAAAAATTCCATTTATAGGCAAGTAGTTAATACTAATATGTTTGTAGCTCAATTTGGCTTCTGCTGTGTTTACTTTGTTTTCATGGCTGATAATCTAAAACAAGTTTGAATAGGAAATCAGAACTGAAATATAACATGATAACTTTAAGTTTTTCGATCAAACTTCGTCCATCCACATTTCTCAATCAGGATGGATTCTCCTCCTTCTCATTCCCATTTTAGCTCTGTGTACTATCAGAGAATTGAAGGTATACAGTTTCCAACGATTACGAATTTATCCGGATCACTGAAGGCTTTGGCTCCTTTGGCAGCGGCAGCAAACTTCATTTACCTCATTGCTGTAGTCATCGTTCTTCAGCAGCTAGTTCTCATTGAGTAAACTACAAATTCCCAAAACAATCTCTTGTTTATAATTTTTCAGTAGACCATCCTGGACTCTTCCTGCCGTCGGAGATCTTCGGAACCTTCCATTGTTCTTCGGAACGGTTATGTTCGCTTTTGAAGGAGTCGCTGTGGTTTACTCAACATCTTGAATCTCCCTCAATATTTCTTTCAAGGTTCTTCCTATTGAAAACCAAATGGATCAACCAATCCATTTCATAACGAAAAACGGAGTTTTGAACACTTCATGTCTTCTTGTTTTAGTTCTTTATTGTGCTGTCGGGTAAGGGAAAAGTATGTTCACAGATGCTAAGAAATCCTTTGAAGTTTCTTCGGATACATCCGTTTTGGAGATGCAGTTATGGACACTTTAACTCTCAACCTTCCTCAAACTATGTATAAACCTACCTAATACACAACGAAAACCCCCAAAACATTTCAGTTTCTACCAATGTATCAAAATTATGTTTGTCGGATGCATTTTGGTATCTTATCCTCTCCAATTCTACGTTCCTATGGAAAGAGTTGAGAAGTGGATCAAGAAGAAAGTAATGAAACATATCTCTCATAGAATTTCCCTATGTCTAACTCCTTCAGGTTCCTGAGCATAGACAAGAGAAACTCATTTATGGAGCTCGTTTCGCTGGTGTCCTTCTTACATGTAAAAACTGAGAAAAAACTGCATGTTACATGATATCAACTTTAAGGTGCCATGGCAGAACTCATTCCTCATTTGGCTCTCTTCATTTCATTGGTTGGATCTTTAGCAGGAACCTCTCTTACATTAGTGTTCCCACCAATGATCGAATTATTGTGTTACTACTCGAGGTACTACAGCATTAATACGACTTAGAATTTGAATAACAGAGGTGCTCTCACCAAGTGGGTTTGGGCCCGTAACGTTGGCCTAATGATATTCGCTGCATTTGGATTTTTCACTGGAACCTACGCTAGTATGGTGCAGATTATAGAAGCGTTCGGAAAACCAGATGTTTAAAACAAGTCGAATATGGAAAATCAACTGAAATTGTTCTCAATTTTTATTAAACTACCCGCATTTCGTATCAGTAGTCATCTTAGTTAATGACAAGAAACTAGAATAAAAGTTAACACGGACTTAAACTGAGACTCAGAATATGGAATAAAATGAAAGAAAAATCTCAAACAAACATAATCAATCATAAAATCCTACTTCTTCTTCGAAGGTCCACTACCTGTCTTCTTCTTTTGCGGTTTAGAACCACTTATGTAATTGGTCAACATTTCACTCAAATCCGGCATGTCCATTCTTGGCATTTGCATTTGTTCCATTTCTTTTTGTAAACTAGGATCAGTAGCAGCAATTCTGAAGAAACAAGTTTTTAATTGCACACAATCAAAAGATTATCCATCAAGTAATGAAAACAATCTTGGCTCGACTTACTTTGGAAGAATAAGCATAACAAGCAGAGGCAGAGCTAACATGAGGACCATTGGGCTCATAAGCATATCGGTTACTCTCCATTCTTCTCTTTTACGGAAATATTTTGTTGTTTCACGAGCAGTCAGTTTAAGAGGGTAAGGTAGTTGATTCACAGAGTTTGGCTGGAAGAACAGGAGGTCTAATGTGAATCAAAAAATAGATTACCTGGAGAACGTTCAGCTTGCGAGCACGCATTTTTCCTTTGGCAGTGATATCAACACGGATTGGTTCAAAAACGAAATCGACATTCTCTACCTAAACTCATAAAACTAGAATATGCCAATAGAAAGTTCAGTACTTGAACCACGTAACTTCCAGAAGGAACATTATTAACAACGAAAGCTCCATCATCTTGAACGAAACCAAGATATTGTCCGTGATTGAGGATAACACGAGAATTGGCAGACCACAGTTGATCTTTAGTATTAGCGGGAAAGATAACCTGGAACAAATCATGAAAACGAATCATATAACATTCAACTAACGTTTCCTTCGATGGAAAACGCTTGCTTCTCCAAGATTGAGCTATCTTCAGCCATTGTGAATGGCACTAACGCCAGTAGGCATACAAGTTTCCACCACATCTGAAGAGAAGTTTAAGACACGACAAGAGCATGATTAATGAAAGTACAAGGCAGTGAACCTCATGATATAGAACGTTGGCAAGTATTGAGCACTTCATAGAATAAATTAAAACTGCAACGTTGCTTCAAAAAATCGAAAACAATAACTTATAAAGCACAGGACACCGTTCTTTTGATAATTCGTTTCTCAGAACAGAGGGATACTACATGTGATGGAGGGGTTAGGAATGAGCCTAGGAAAATACAAACTGACAATTTCCCACTAAGAGTAGTCTATCATGGGTTGTCATGAAGGGCGAAGCATTAAAAAGCCAACAGTTGCGAGAAGCAGTAACTGATTATTAATGCAATATAAATATATTACGGAGATTTGTATAATCGGTATGATATTAAAACTTAAAATCATAAGGCAGTGATGAGGAGGAGCCGTCCACAAGATGAAGTGATATGAGATGAGCAAAAACGTTTCGAGAAACCATCCATCGAACTAATTGAATCTTTTCAAAAACTCTTCAGCAGATACACGAGCTCTAGCATTGAGTGCTAATTTCATGTCATTGATTTCCTGAAAGAAAAGATTGTTTTATTGAAAAGAGTTTCCTAATATTACTTTATCGATCTCTTGCATGAAATGAAGGAGAAAATCAACAACTTTGTGTTTGTACATAGTTTCTGTGTGGGAAGCAGTGATCAAGAACGAAATATCATAATCTGAAACGGAAATGGGAAATTGAACAGTTTGATTTTACGCGTTAACACGTGTGCACGTGAAAGAAAACGTGGAAGGCTTCATAACTTCACTAATTTGCATCGCGAACGGTTGCTTACCTTCGATTGGTTTTCTTCTTAAGACGTAGAAGTTATCAGCACGTTGACACATGAATCTGGTGAACTTGTGACAGAGGAAGTTTTCAATATCATCTGATTTCTTAATAGCGATAGAGATTCTGAAGGAACATGATTTTTGTATCAATCAACAGCATTATTCGTACCGAACAGAGTTCACTGATGGTTCTATGAGAACTCTCTCTTGTTTATTACGAGCTACAACTACAGGAGTCATAAGTAATTCTTTAGAGGTACGGACTTCCACCTCAAATAAAACGAGATTGATAGCAAAGAAAGTTTGTCATACCTCTGGCTTGTTGTGTCTTTCGACTACTTGTGAGGAAAACTGTTCGAGACATAATGCAGCTTGTAAAGTGCTTTTTACAGCATCAAGGTAAGGTTGAAGAGTTGAACTCTGAAACGTGACAAAGTACAAGATTTAATTAAAAGAAATGATTACCATGACAATCTAAGTAACTGAAACGAACACTAAGTTCTACCTGCAAACAGAAAAAATACTAACTTTAAACACCAAATAACATTGAAAGATCATACGAAAGTCTTTATACTGATTATGAATATTTTAAATATTCTAATTTCATGGGAAGAGCACAGAAGAAGCGTAAAAACTCTAGATACTCTAGTCGTCAAAATCAATATAAGACGAATGGGTCACCAGAGAAAAGAGTGCGTAAAGCCAAGAGAGTACAGACAGACAAAACGATGAATTGGAGCGCTTTTCAAACATTAAGTCAGGAGAGGAAAAACCAACTAATAATTAGCTGATTATTATATATCCAAATACCATGATATCAATGTTTTCGTTTCAGTTAATTGAATGAAGTGGGAAAAGACTACAATTGTAGGTGTTGATGTGTTTCTTGTTCTCGTTTTTGTCTCAATCGAAAACAAAAAAAGATTCTAATTCAGCACTCAGTATGATTTTCATTTGTGTGAGCTACCAAATGATGGTGTAAGTTGTAATAGCAGGCTAGGATACTGTCAGATGAATATTTTGTTTCATATCACTATTCAGAAAACAAAGGTAAAAAGAGGAATATTGAGTATAAATCTTTAATTCATCGAATGAAGCTGGGGGACTCGGAATAATATTGTAGAAGAGGAGAGAATGTTTCTCACGACGTATAGGGAATACAGCATAAGCATACATCGCGTATATTTATGTAGCGAATTTACTCGTCGGCAATGACTAAGAAACAAGAAGAAGAGTGAATATGTGTGATAGCAACTCTACATTAGTAGCAAAAGTAGCTTGCCAGAGAGTTGATTCGTCAAGTATCAGTTATCACTCATGCGAGTTATCTTGTCCCTCTTGGAATAACATGAGCAATACAGTACCAGGAACTACTACGAAGCTATTCTACACAATAATTCTGGAAATTCAGTATCCGCTCGCAATTCATTTTACACCATGAGGATAAAGAATGGAAACCGCCTCCTTCAACTGGAAGCTTGCTGAACGACCGTTCCGTGTGACTGAAATCAGGAATGAAATGCCTGTCACTGCAGAACCATGCAAGAATGAACCACCGCTATCCGGGGCAACTGAGCCAAATGGTTTTTGTAGCATTCCATTCCGGACATCACGAACTCATAGTGCTCAGTGGAATGGATCAGGACCAAGGCATTGCATTAGTGTAAATTACTAACGATCTTATTCAACCAGTCTGCCTTAGTTACATGGGGTTGAACAGAATGGATGTTCTTCGGGTAATAACGATCTCACTCAATAAACTGGACACGAACTAACATCTTTCACCCCACCCCCACCATAACTCATGTTCTCAGATTATAATTATAACCTTTGATATCAACCGGTAGTCCGACACTTGTTTAACACCGTGTAGCTTATTAACAGAGGCTAAACACGAAAATGGTGTCATTGCATCTAACACAAGAGCGAGTAACCTTCAAAAACTGTTGATGAAACTCCGTCATAAAATGCCTTGTATATTAGGACGTATATATTGTGACACAAGAAACGTTTAAACGAACAATGTTTAATAACAAGTAACAGCTTAAAGACGACGTCCTCTGCGACCACCCTTTCTGCGAGTGCTGTCAGATGGGATTGGAGTAACATCTTCAATACGTCCGATCTTCATTCCACTTCTGGCAAGAGCACGAAGAGCAGCTTGAGCTCCTGGTCCTGGGGTCTTGGTCTTAGTTCCACCAGTGGCACGAAGCTTGATGTGGAGAGCGTTGATGCCAAGCTGTAAAATTGAATGTGAAGTTGATGAATACTAACCAAAATCACAAACCTGTTTGCATCTTTCAGCAACATCTTGAGCAGCAAGCATAGCGGCGTATGGAGATGACTCGTCTCTGTCAGCCTTTACTTTCATACCTCCAGTAACTCTGGTGATAGTTTCTTTACCTATAATGAATAATTATAAAATCAATACTCATAATTAATAAATTACCAGAAATATCAGTGATGTGGACGAATGTGTCATTGAAAGAAGCGAAAATATGAGCGACAGCGAAGATCAGCTCACCCTCCTTAGCTTGGGGACCAAGAGACACAACGGTCTGTTCTTCTCTAACCTTTCCCTTACGAGCAGGAGCCATTATCCAAGACTACAAATACAAAAGTATTACCCATGTCTAGATATTCAACCAAACAAGAGTAATCCAACATTAATCTCGAAAAGAAACTTTACGTCGTACACAAGTACATAAAAATAAAAAAATTTTCTTCAAAATTGCTTTAGGATAAAACGAAATACAAAATTTGCTCACCCATTCTGCGCCAACATAACGCAAACTTCGTATCACAGACGCATAGCAGCTGACGCGCAGTCTGGATTCCCGCCACGAAGAGTTTTTGGGGTGTCTTGTGCTTAATTTCTCACCGATTTTGGGATTTTAGACTTATTTTCTCTCTTTAATTTCGGAATTTTATGTTTTTTGTTTAATTTTAACTTTATCAAAATAAAAATAATAATTCCTCTAATGTACATGTTGCAGATTAGAATAATGTATAAGAAATGCTAGTCATTTTATGGCTTATAATACGCGAGTTTCTTCTTGGAGTGTATCATTCTTTGACGGGTTTAACTGTAAGTCACTTAAAATCTTTTCCCTTTGACTAAATATTTCCTTCAGTTAATTTTTAAATTGGATAGAGATGTAAAGCATATTATTGTAAATGCCGCTGCTGCAGATAAACCCGATAGGTTCAGTGTACTTGCTGTAAGTCTCTAGCTTACAGCTTACAACTCATTCTTAAATTTAGCAAAGAAGAACGATAAATGGTGTGGTGGAAAGACCTGCTGAACCCATTGTCAGATATAATGTGCCTGCTTGGATGAGGTTAGCAACATTCATTTATTATCAGAAGCTTAACTCGAACCTTTCAGAATTTTATATTGTATCCTGGGCAACATGCTGTGCATGTTTGTTTTCTGGATATTCTCCGGTTCCTGTAGCTTCTTCATCAGTCTTTTCTTCGAGAAATCTGAAATACTGGTGGAAGCTACAACTAGTCTTCTGGTCTTTCCTATTTTTCTAATTCTCCGAGTTCTCATGATTTTATGGTTCTCTGACATTGCAAGTGCATGTAATCGCACTCTAAGAATGCCTGAAGGAAGGCCTATTGATATAAGGTTAGTGACAGAAGATTCGTTAGAATTTAAAGTTTTCTGTTCAGAACCGCAATAGCCGACTTGGGATTCTCCGCTGTACTTGGTTTCGTGTTTCTCTTCCAAGCGATCTTGGTTGGTTACATACTCTTGCCAATACCCGGATTGTCATCTTTTATCAAATTCATTCACATGTCCTTGTTGAATGCTATGTACAGGTAATTGTATTCTTCTCGCCCTCTTAACCATATTGGCTTTATAGTTTTGAATATTTTTGGACGTCTAGAGGTTTTAGTCTAAGCGAGAGGCTCCACCGCTTACATTCTAGTTGGCCCTATTATGTAGGATTTGGCTCTCTGCTCACATTAGCTACGAGTTTTACTGGTAATTTCATATTTGACGGATGTTTATTTGGTGCCTTATTCCCATTCACTATCATCAGTTCATATCAGGTAGGATCAGTTGACTAGCAGCAGCATTATTCATTCTTTTGTTTCAGGCAGAATGGAACAAACGTAACTCCAATTTGGTCAGTTCTATTCCGCCAATCCAGATGTTGTATCCATCGAAAGTTGTGACAGATCGATTAGTTTCATATCTAACAAAGTTATTTGTTTGAATGCCTGTACATTTTGTATATACTTAGTCTTTATACGTGTATATTTGCTTGCTCAATTGGTACCAAGTACATTTATATTTTAACTTCTGTCTTGTTCAACGACTAGGGCTTCCCACCCTTAGATACCTTTTCATCCATCATTTCCAACCTTTATATGTAAATCTTATCTTTTAGCAATGGCACAACCAGGTATTGAGGCACTGGCCGTTGGTCTTAACAAGGGACATCAAGTCACCAAGAACGTTACCAAGCCAAAGCAATCTCGCAGAATGGGAGCTTGCTCCAAGAAGAACAAGGTAATAGGCTTCTTCTTCACTTATGCTCATTTATATTATTCAGGTTGTTCGCGATCTCGTCCGTGAAATCACCGGATTCGCTCCATACGAGAAGCGTGTTCTTGAAATGCTCCGTATCTCCAAGGATAAGAGAGCCCTCAAGTTCTTGAAGAAGCGCATAGGAACCCACCTTCGCGCCAAGAAGAAGCGTGAGGAACTTCAAAATATTATTGTTGCTCAGCGCAAGCATCATAAGTAAATTGTTGTTGTTGCTTCATAAATTGTTTCTTTAAACTTTTCTGTTCTTATTGCGTTTCTCGCTTCGTATACCAGGGATTGTCGGGCAAAGAATTTCTTTTAAATGACAAATTAACAGATGCTGAGAGGTTTCACCAGAGTTGCTTCACTGGCCGTTAAGGCTCAACTTCCAGTTCTACGAAATGCTCCTCAAGCTATTCGGGTAGCTCAAGTGAGGTTGGTAAATGTAGGGTGGTGAGGAAACTTGACGGAAAACTGTTCAGATTGAGTCACGTTGAAGTCTTCGGACCTTTCGATCCACCAAAACAACTCACATTCAAGGATGTAGAGAGCCGTGTTTTGAAGGCTATTCGTGCATGGGATCGTTTCCCAGTCGACAAGGAAGCTCAACTCAAGATTGATGCTGATTTTAACAAAGATTTGGGTTTTGACTCCCTCGATCATGTTAGTTCTTTGGAATCTAAGCAATCAATCGATATTTGTAATGCTTGGCATCCCTGTTGACACTATCTGTTTTCAGGTAGAAATAATGATGGCTGTAGAAGATGAATTCGGTTTCGAGATACCTTTGGAAGATTCGGAAAAATTGAAGACACCAAAGGATGTATTTAAGTAAGGAAAACTTTAGTGGAAGAGGAATAAATGACGTAATTTCAGATATATCTGTGAAAGAGAAGATGTGTATAACTAGAAAGAACCAACTTTCTCAGTAATTATAGCTTAGATTATCATAGAAATACGTGGTTCATTTTGTAGTTTCTGGTCGAATGGACGAGAACGTCGTCTATCGCATGTACAGATTTTAAATAAAGACTGTATTTCGTACGTTACATCCTATTGTTGATCCTGAGCTAAACTATGTAGCCACTTCAATAATCAACAAGATTGAGATCTTGGCAAGGCCATCGGCATAATTCTGATCTTTTGGTGTTTGGTCTTAATCCAAATATAGTGTGTGCAACTGACGCACGTGATGAACGGTGCAGGAGCTTCGAGTTATGGTACTGTTGCGAGCCTAACACACTACCGCAATGTTTGTACCATGATTTGCATAGTTCGTTAACGTTAATGATGTCTTTGTTAGGCACTTATATACACGTGACTAGCTGTTCTCGTTTTCAAGATGACACTTTGAAGTATGTTGGGATATATAAACATCATAGTTTTACCTTATATAGACTATGCCATCAAACTATGATGTATGTAATTTCCTTTTGTTTGTACTTTTGAAAACTGGTATTGATATCGACCTGTTGATTAAGGCTGGGCCTTGTCATATTGCCAGAAACTTATTCAAATGTCTTAACCTAACATACTCCTAGCCAGTAGTCTTATACAACATGTATCCCCAAGTTTCCATCAGCTTCTTTTTCGGCTCACTAGATATGATGTTGTGATTCTTTCGATTCGTTTTATTCGCATTAATCAAGTTATTAAATTCCTACAGAAGTTACAATGCACGTTGATTGCCCTTCAGAAAGGGCTCCACATTTTCATTTTTTTGTAATCCAATACTTCATTGCTTTCTCGTTCTGACTTTAAAAAACATTTCGTTATTGCAATTATTTGTAGTTTTCTTTAATTCTCTCTCCATGTGTGGAATTATCGGATTCGTTCAAGCCGATAATGTGGATGTCACAGGAAGTCTACCTGTGCTTGCTGCGGATGGGCTAACGGCTCTTCAACATAGGTGAGCGAACCAATCTGCAAAGTTTCTTTCCTCAGCCGTAGTATAGTATTAGTGTATACACAAAATTCGCGTTAGCATAGTTAAGTGGGTTAGTTTGTATCTCTGACTAGAGCGTTGGTGGTTCGGCGCCCTTGTAGCATCCAATTCATCCCAGAAGTGCGGCTGTGTGCCCCCTTCTACAACGTAGGATGCGAGAGTAAACCGATGTCCCACTGACGTCTCAATCGATCTTAGGTTGCGGTACAGTGGGACACCCGATATTTTATTACTTGAAAGGGAATTTCTTGTTTCAGGGGCACAGAGTCGGCTGGTCTGGTTGGTTCTAATGGCCGAGATCGTTTCCACTTTGACATTATCAAAGGACATGGGTTAGTTCGAGATGTGATGACACAGGAGAATATTAACAAGCTCGAAGGTTTGCTCTTTCGCAAAACTGGGTTTTACATCATTCGTGTAGACAGCGTTATACTTATTGGACATAACCGTTATTCAACAGCGGGCAAGAAACATCCTGCTATCAATTGTGTTCAACCATTTGTCGTTTATACTGCTGTAGGGAGTATTGCCATAGCTCATAATGGAGAGCTCGTAGACGTCAAAGAAAAACGTTTAGAGGTATAGCACGTCCGTCTAGACATGAGAGTACGGTACTTACTCAGGCAATGCATCATGGTGTTGGATTATCAAGCGATACAGATTCCGAACTGATAGCACAAATGATCGCTAAAGCTATTGCGTTGAATTACAAATGCAGGAATGAAGAAAACTATGGAGATATCAGTAAAGTGAGAGGAGAAAAGAGAAAGAAACGCCTAGTAATTGAACCTCTTCAGGAGTTAGCTGTTACAATGTCAGCTATCAATATGTCTTATTCATTGGTGGTGATGACCTATGACCGAATGTATGCTATAAGAGATCCTTACGGAAACCGGCCACTGTGTGTGGGCACTGTTTATGATAAGCAAGGTTTAACATCATAAACTTGATCTTTCTGAGTGCTTACTATTCAGGAGATCCTCTTGCGTATTGTGCTGCATCTGAAAGTTGTGCACTACCTGGTCGTGGGAAACTAAACTTCGAAGTACAACCAGGAGAAATAATTGAAATAAGCAGAAGTGGAATTCGATCGGTTTGTCAGGTAAGCATTTTCTCATTATCTAAATCATCTGCAAAAAACAGTGATGATAGAAGAAAATAGTTTTGTTTAAAAAATACAACCAAATCCGGACAGCTCAGCGTTTAAAATGATCTACCGATGGTTACAGATGCAACCTCAAACTCCACAAGCTATGTGTATTTTCGAATATGTGTATTTCTCTCGAGGCGATACAGTTCTAGAAGGACAGCAGGTTCAGAGTGTTAGGTATTCATTCTACCTTGGTATAATAGTCTTATTTCTGCTTTGTTGCAGAGAAGAGTGTGGGCGTATTCTAGCTTCTGAAAGTCATGTCGAAGCCGATGTGGTATCGAACGTACCAGATTCTTCTACTGCTGCGGCAATAGGCTATTCAGAGAGAGTTTGTTTAAGATTTCAGAAAAACTCATCAAGAATGATATTCTAGTCTGGAATACCATATCGACCATGTCTACATCGGAACAGTTATGTTGGGCGATCCTTCATTCAGCCCAACAATCAAATGAGACAGTCAGCAATATATAATAAATTCGGTATGGTTTTGAAACTTACAGCTGGAGTGAATCTTACTGTTCAGGAATTCTACGTCAAAGTGTTAGTGGAAAGAGAATTGTTCTGATTGATGACTCAATAGTTAGAGGGAACACAATGAAAATATTAGTAAAAATGTTTATTGATGCTGGAGCTAAAGAGGTATGTTTGCTTGGATGACTAATAAGGCTTAATGGTACATACACAGGTCCATCTTAGAATAGCATCTCCTCCAGTAAAACATCCTTGTTTTATGGGCATCAACATACCTACAAAGTTATTAAAGGTGTTTTGCAAATTTCTAATATTATGGGTTGTAGGGAAGAACTGATCGCTGCAGAGCACAGTTTGGACGAGATTCGTGAACACGTTGGCGCTCATTCTGTACGCTACTTATCCGTAGAAGGATTGAAGAAAGTCAGTTTTTGAATTCATCTATCTTACCGTCTACACAACCATCACTTCTTAATCTCCCTAACTATTCAGGCTGTCCAATCACAAATACAAAAGAGAGCTAACTTTGAGGTTGGACATTGCACTGGTTGCCTGACAGGCAAATATCCTGTAAATATTGATTTCTGAACTTAAATTTAATCAAACAGTAACTGATCAACTCATGTCTATCCGATTTTAATCAGCAAACATGCAAAAGGAATGCCATTCATAACATCAACAACAAAAAAGATGTCTAAACAATGCTGTCGGTCATGTATTTACGACTAGAGCTCAAGGCTATAATTTTATAACACTTATTATTTATTTGTGTGCCGTGGAAAGATCTTGTTCGCTCTTTCAATAAACAATTTCAAGCTTCGAAAATATTGACCCGAGTGAAACGTACTGTTATAGTTGAGACTTCAACCGTTTGGCATCATAGAGATCAGTATCTGGAAATTTTCAGCTTGCGGAGCCGGGTAGCATCTAAATAGAACTGTACAACAGTCTCTTATCATTATCAACTTTGATCGTTTGTCTATGCTTCCTATCGTTTCTTCGAATTCTCACGCTTCTTTAGAGCAATTCAACTTGTTGAGGATTAACTGCTGCGCATTTCTGCCTTTTTTAGAAGCAAAGCCCCGTAAGACGGAGAATATGATAACAGAGTTCGAAATCTATGAACGACCATAAATTATAGCACGCAATTATCTATTTCAGTTTCTAAATTAGGATTGCGTCATAAGACGTCTGGACATGATGACTTTTCTGAACAAGATAATCTCAATAGATCTATGGTGTGCTCATGAAGCACAGAAGTTGACATTGCTTCTTTACAAATATTTTTTTCAATGAATTCTGTTGAAAAAAGAAGGGAGCACGTACTTTGTTTGAAGGTAGAAGTACAAAAACACAACGCCCTCTTGTTCGCATGGAGTCAAATTGTTGGTTCTTTTGCAGTTCAAAGATAAGAGTCGATAAGAAACGTGATCAATGTGAAAATAGAAGTAATGGGTGGAGGCTGAAAAGCTTTTTGTTTCCATATATAAATGAGAAGCTTGCCCTCAGAATTTTATCAACCATTCTCTTTTTCAATAGTTAGTCTATATGAAAGGCCACCAACAGTGACAATTGATTTTCGTCGCATACGATCATACTTTTCATGTTTTCTATGAAAATTCTAGGCTTAGTGCAAAAACTATTCCAACTTGTTGACGATAGTCTACCCCAATACGAAAACACTTTTTTAAAAAATAATTTTTGAAACCTGCTCAAAACACACAACGATAACGCAAATATTGTATGATTAGATAGTTCTTTTTCGCTCTTTTCGTTCATTCATCTCCTTCACCTCGTCTATTTCAGAATGGCCAAGATTGGCGATCAAGAGAATAAGGTTAAGCCGGCTCAGGTCAGCTATGAGGTTAAAGTTGAAATTCCTGACGACGATGATAACGTAAGTTCACTTGAATCTTCACAAGACCTCATATCTTTCTTTAGTCTCGATTCAGTTGGGGCAAATTGTGGAGGTTCACTGGACCAGGATTCCTCATGAGTATCGCTTATTTAGACCCCGGAAATATAGAAGGTGATCTTCAAGCTGGCGCTGTAGCACAATACAAGGTCAGTGATCAATGTTTGAATCAGAAGCCAACACCTGTATTGTAGTTGATATGGGTACTTCTACTTGCTCACATTCTCGGGTTGTTACTTCAAAGATTAGCTGCTAGAATTGGGGTTGTGACTGGAAAGCATATGGCTGAGGTTCGAATTTACATGGTTCAAATTTGAAAGTATACATATGCCCTCAGATCGCTCATGGATATTATCCACGTGTGCCTCGATTGATTCTCTGGATTATGGTTGAGATAGCTATTATTGGATCAGATATGCAGGAAGTTATTGGTACAGCTATATCCTTATATCTTCTCTCTAATACGAAGTTGATTGTGACAAAAAAATATTTTTTTAACCTTTTATCTCTAGAATTCCATTATGGGCCGGTGTACTGATCACCATCAGTGATACATTCACTTTCTTGTTTTTGGAACGGTATGGAATCCGAAAATTTGAAGGATTCTTCTGTTTCTTAATCTCTCTTATGGCTATAGCCTTCGGTTTCGAGTTCGTCAAATCAGCCCCACCAGCGGTATAGTGATAAGAGTGCTGGGAAGTCTAGAGCATGAATGTTTAGGGTCCACTATTCGAGGGAATGGTTCTACCCTGGTGTACTCATTGCGATTCTAATCAGTTAATGCAAGTTGTATCTATTATTGGAGCTGTTATCATGCCCCATAACTTCTACTTACATTCCGCTCTTGTAAAAGTATGACATGCTTTTCTAAACTTAGCAGCAATCATTCTTTGTAGAGCAGATCCGTAGATAGAAAAAAAACCAAAAAGATCAGCGAAGCCAACTTCTACTTCTTCATCGAGTCCGCAATCGCTCTTTTCTGTTCATACTGGATCAACTTCCTTGTCATTGCTGTTTTTGCTAACGGACTTTACGGAAAGACCAACGCTGACGTGGTGAGTACTTTGTCCTGTGTGAAACCATAATATTCAAATATCACAGCTTAACACTTGTCAAAATACCCACAACGGAATGCCCAACTTCTACAAGAGTGTATACTCGAACGATACGCAAGAAGCCACTGCTGACATCTATCACGCTGGAATATTCTTAGGTAGTATGAGTGGATGTTATGATTTGTGACGGACTATTTTGAAGGATGCACTTTCGGTGTAGCTGCTTTATACATTTGGGCTATCGGAATCATGGCGGCTGGACAGTCTTCAACAATGACTGGAACCTATGCAGGACAATTCGCCATGGAGGTATTGTTTTCAATCTTCTGTTTTGAAATCCATAAAAAAGCTTATCACGTTAAAAAATTGTGAAAGTTTTTTTGAACAGCCGCTCACAGCATAAACACAGCACGGAATGAATAGCCGTTAATAGCTGCACCACAAAAACATTTGAGACTCATTTGATTCTTTCAGGGTTTCGTTCAAATCAAGATTTCAACATGGAAGAGAGTTCTGATCACTAGAACCTTAGCTATCGCTCCCACTTTAGTTGTAACCATATTTAGTAGAGGAATTGATAGTATTTCTGGTTTGAATAATACTTTGAACTGTGTACAGGTAATAATGAAACTCTCCAGAAAGTATGTAATCATCCTTTCCAGATGGTTCAATTGCCGTTTGCTGTAATACCAGCTCTGACGTTCGTTTCTGATCGCCGACTCATGCAAGATTTCAGATGTGATAGGTAACCGTTATTCTATCCACAAAGATCATGAATCTAAATCTGTTTCAGTTATCAGAAGATAGGTGCCATCATAGCCTCTCTCGTTATTTTAATAATCAACTTCTTCTTCTTCTTCCAAACAATTAATGATACTTTTGGATTCACGGCGTTATCCATTCCGTTGACTCTTGTCTTCGTCATCGTATATCTTACAGCTATTCTTTATCTCGTAAGTGTTTCAAACCCACATCATTCAATACTATTCATATTTAGTTCTACTACTGCCTAGTTGCTATGGAATACATTTCTCCCTGGAATGTGGTGAGTCAAGAAAACTTCATTAGTCTATAACATCAACGTTTTCAGTCCTGGCTGCCATCACCAAAATATGAACAATTTGATACTCCTTGGGTTGACGAGCATAAACCAGCTATCACTTCATCACAGTTTGATGAAAATTCTGATAAACCACAAAGCTATTAATCCGATCTCATATCTGTAATTATTCAAAGATACTTTGTACTTCTGTATATATATATTATCATAATAATCATAAAGAGTTTTAATTTAATAATTTATTAGAAAATATGTACAAATATACAAATGAGCAAAGAGATCCTGCTAACTGTTGTCATACAACAATGATTGAAAGAAATAGCGATTTCGATGACAACCCTGACTGGGTAAGAGGTGATATTAACTATCTACCGGTAATCTTCTATAAATAAGTCTGACTGTAAGCATTTGGCTCTATATGTTATTAAACAACGGAATTCCGTTCTTGAGGTGTTAGATCACTTGGTGTGCGGTAATGAATGGATGGTTCGTTACGAGACCAGGTAACTCTATCTGGACTCTTACCTCTTGCAGCTCTCTGCTTTCTCATTGAGCTTCTCATCTGTCTAGGTACATCAGGCATTTCTTCCGGATTGGTAATGTAATACAACCTAAATAATGTTAATTATAAAATGTCAGATGTGCTGAATCTACTCTTTGATAGCTTCTCTTTGAGTTTTCGGTTTAGGCTCAGGCTTTCTAAGCTTTTCCATTTTCCATGGAAACCCAGAGTCATATGGTTGAGGAGCATAGAAGTCCAACCTAAACAAGTAATGAGAACCAAAAAAAAGATAGAGAAAACCTTTGCACTTCTTCGGGTACTCGTCTACGTGGGCTTCTACTTCTTCGTTTGATCTTTCTCTGCAATTGGATATCAGGAACTGTTGGCCATTCTGTTCTCCATGCCGGTACGGCTGGAGGAGCAGATTGTCGTCCCGATCTCCGACCTGGTTGAGCAGGTATAGGTGCATAAGATTGGTGTGCCATCTCGTACTGAATGAAAAGATAATTAGAAATGTAAAAAGAGAATAAAGCAACTCTTGTAGGCGGTCGAACATGTTCGTGTATTTCTGCCGGCTTATCTGATGTCAATTGACCAGTTAATCTCCAATAGAAGAAGAGAACAATAATGAGACATATGCCCTGAATGAATAACAATGAATGCTTACATAAAAGGAACTAACATTAATGCCGAGAGACATGACGAATTCTGCTACAGACATTGTCAATTGTTCATTAAAAACATCCTGGAATAGAAAATGAAGAAAATGAATGAATTGATACACTCACTCCACTCCACCAAAGCACGGCATAAGCTGTAGACATGATGATGATTGGTCCAGCTGAGAAGAACCATGGCCAGATGAAATTCTTCTTGTACTAAGCCAAAGATGAATAATCTCAAATACATTTTTCTCACCTTGATACATCCATATAATAAGACTATTGACATGAAAAAGTGTACAAACGCTAGGAATATATCGATCAGCACAATCACATACATTGCTGAAATTTCAAAAGTTATACATATCATTAGCCTTCATAATACCATTTATCCGTCGTCTCTCAGGTGTCTCAGTGTAAATAGAATAAAGGCCAGGAAATCTTGCTTGAAATCCATCAATACTCAAACATAAACAGTTTTTAGCATCTATCATTCAATACTTACGCTCCTGTGGCTGGTAATTGCCGATTTTCATATTCCCATTGTAGTCCCTTGACTGTACTTATCTGCCATCCCAAAATACCCATTTGAATCAAAGAATATATCTAAAAACATATGATCATGAACATATTACTTTAGAAACTTACAATATTCCATATTGCTATCGCAATGGATACTCCACGCAGACAAAATAAAGGATCAGCCATCAGGTGTTAACCGTCTGACAGTTCTAGAGTAACTTTATCAATTAGTTTCGAAGCTGAAATATGATGTAAAGCGGAATTTTTTTCTCCGGAAATACGACGAATGTAGTTTTAAAATAACAGATGATTCGATATTAGTCATGTACCGCCTTCTCAAATATATATAATATAAACGCAGGCTGACTGGCAACACAAACGACAATTATGAGATTAAGGCACCTAAATCGATAATATCAGAAAGCTTCAATAAACCTTAATGCGCATGGAGTAGTAATATTGATTTCCATAATATATAAACAGAAACAAGGTGACAGAATTATGTTCACAAGCTTGAAAGAACAGTAAATTCATGTTCGAAGGAGGAACTCGCTATAGACCACGAGACAACATCAAAATATGAAAGACTTAAGAGAATTTGAAGAAGTCTAATATACACATAGAGCTATGGTCAGAACTTCCAGCTAGCTAGAAGAGAAGACAACTATTGACCGATTGAAAAGAGCAAACAATACATGTGCACGTGTGGGAATGGTGAGAGAGATAGAGACAAGGAAGACAGAAATGGGAAGGTATTATATACGAACCTCAAACGAATTGAGTCAGCATTAAACTCTTTTTTAAGAAATTGATAGTGGTATCTGATACCAATGATAGTTCGAGGGAATAAGTTCACCAACCTTACATGTTGATGATTCAGCACAAAAAATTCTAAGAAACGAACATAAAGGTGTGTTTATATAACGCTTCAAGACATACGTATTCAGTCCTCGGTAGTATAGTGGTGAGTATCCGCGTCTGTCACATGCGAGACCCGGGTTCAATTCCCGGCCGGGGAGAATTTTTTGCGTTTCTGATACCTTTGCACTGTTTTTACAAATGAAAATTGGTGTTTCAATTTCAACATTTGCAGTTTTTATAGGTCATATCATGCTCAAAAATCTGTTTTCAAACGATTTTTCTTTTTTTCTGAGATTATATTCTATCGTCAAAGAATATTGCACTGTGCACATATCAACTTCATATCATTGACTATCATCGAGTTCGATAATAGTTTTACAATGTAAGTATCTTCTTCCTTCTCTATGAAAACACAAGAGAATTTGTTCTTCGATACAATGACAAGGTGATTCTCAAAAAAATCATTTTTTCATATCGTTTATCAGGCTGGGTTAGGTTCAACTTGTGTTGGATCTTGTTCGTTCACATTTGAGATAATAGTTGCAGGAATGACAGTGTTGTCCACGTATCCCAAAATCAGTCTTATCTCCCGCTGGATCTGACAAGATTAAATGATGACTTTTTTGAATTAGCATGAATTTTTTCATACGTCTCTGTTCAGAGTAATGTAGATGAAAGAGTTGATACCACAATTACCGATGAGAACAAAAGTTGTTATTATGAAAATTTCTGGTTTTTCCACATTAAAAAGTGGGAAGAAGCCGAACGAAGACCACGTCATGAAGTACGTAAGAAACATTAATGAGCATTGGATGCTTATTCTGCAAACGACAATCCTTTTTCTGTTAAGAGAGAGGATATTACCGTATTTCTTTTGCGGTCACGTGTGTATCTACTGTTTTTCTCAAATTATGAATATGACGGAAGAGCTGAATTGATGTCTAAGTTCATTAGAAAATGTGTTCTCGTACTTTTACATAAGATATGGAGCATATAGTGCTGCATATGATATCGAATGGTAATCCGATGGAATAATTTGAAGTGTTGACTCCATCTTTTGTGAGATTGAGGGAAGAGTAACCATACACTCGAGGATCTGGTATGAATCTTTAAAAAAAAATTTTTATTGGGATTTTCCTTTATTGCTATCACCTGCAGCAAGAAAATGAGAGTTGAAACACAGCTGTAGCCAACAACGAAAAGAATATGAGTAAGAGAAAGGCACGTAGAATGCGTCTCACAGTGAAATAGTTTTTCTCCGGATTATAAATAACATGAAGCCTAAAGAAACAGTTATATACCTGAAGTCTATTCTTACCTCGTTATAGCTAATAAGATTTGAATCAACGACTGTAGGAACCAGAACTCGAGTAAGTAAGATCCAATTAGAAATACAGCTGTTGAGTTTTGTTCACCTTCGAAGAACCAATTCTAGAATGATAAATTTTGAATTTTTCGATTTTGGCTTCAGCTGAGACTCCTAAGAGTATGGAAGGACCAAGATATATAACATGCATCATGAGCTGTACTGAATCACATATCATATTAAACCCAGTAATCAGATAAATAGGATTATTTTCTAACTTATACAGCTTTCCTCTTAAATGAAAGCAACCATATTTGGTGTGAGAAGTAATGTTACCGTTTAATACAATATAAACAAATCAAATTGCAGATCAAAGCAACCCATATCCATAGGTTCAATAGTGAGCCGAACAGTATACGAAAGGTATCAACTTGCATAGTTTTGAATTATGGGGAAGAGTAATAGAAGGTCGAACCACTTTTTTCAGTTACAGCTAAGAAGTTTGGATATGAGGCTGATGAAAATGATACTTCAGTCACAAATGTATAAACTTCGAATGAAATTTCATTTTCAATCATCCAAATCGTAGCAAAATTTGAAATGTAGTGGGGGTTTGTATGAATGCACGATGCTGGTATGATCGTACTTTTTTCTTGTTATACATTGAGCTATGAATTATTATTTTGCATCATATTCATGTGAACTATTTTCCATAGGTTTGAGACTATTTTTCTGACTGAGTTTTTCTCCGCCATTTTTTTGTATAGTAGGAAGCATGAGGGACAGTGTAATTGTATTTTTAAAACAATTTTCTTGATGTAGTGCTTGATAATATGAACTTAGCCCAACTTTTCAGAGAGTTCCACTTTATCAGTGTATTCTCCCGTTCTCATTAAATCCAGTAGCACATACGAGACCCGGGTTCAATTAGGGGCCGGGGAGAACTTTCTGCGTTTCTGATATGTTTGCACTGTTTTTACAAATGAAAATTACGAGGCGCCAAAGGGTTGTCCCAGTTGTTCACGTGAAATTTTAGCGGTCTGAAATTTTTTGTTATTCTGCTATTGTTGTACGCGCAGAGCGGTTGTGTTCTTAAATCTCTCGTTTCAGTAATGCTAAAGCAAACTGTTCAAACAATATTTGTTCGCGGATGCGAGAAGGTTTCTCCCAAAATTTTGAAAGATGTAAATGTAATTAATTTTCTCACAAAATATTGTAGGCTTTACTAGATTGTTCGCGTTAGAGAGTCTGCTTTGGATATTAGAGTAAAGGATAAGACACATACATTCCCACTATGTGTTCAGTCTAGGATATATGTAGTGGCTTTCGGAAAAGCGTCAATTGGAATGACAAAAGTAATTGAAGAAAGTTTAGGAAGCTCATTCACAGATGGTATTGTGATAGCACCAGAATCAATGACCATGTTTGCTAAAATATGATTCGAACCAGAGATACTTACTTCTTCTAGAGTTTCCATGAAATCAAAAATATACTTGGCAGGAAAAAACAATCTGCCAGATGAGAACTCGGTTTCGTCAACAAAAAAAGTTCTGGAGTTCTTAAAACAGATTGATAGTCCTGACTCCATTGTGTTGTTTTTGATATCAGGTAACTATCAAAATAAACAACATACATAAGATTCTTGAGGGGGAGGATCAGCTCTTCTCTGCTCACCCAACAAAGTGTCTCTATCTGAAAAGCTGGAAACAATTAAGTTGATGGTGAAACAAGGAGCTTCTATACAACAACTCAATACCATAAGACAACATCTCTCGGAAGTAAAAGGCGGGAAGTTGTTGTCAAAGTTATTGAAATCCAAGGTAAATCATCTGAGGAGCTGGTGTTCTATCAAAGTTTAAGGTGATTTCTTTGATCCTGAGTGATATTATTGGTGATCCTATTGATCTGATAGCGAGCGGTCCAACTGTGATTCCACGGGGAAACAAAGGAAATCCTTTTTTACTACTGCAATCGTTGTCGATCCCAGTCAAGGAGCTACCACCAAGTGTCAAACTACAGCTGTCAAGCCTTGAAACTGAAGCTGAAGCTGAGATTAACAACCCCTCTAATTTTATAGTTATTAATAACGAGCTAATTCTTGAAGAGGTACGAACTAGCTTGACGGAACAAGGATTTCAGTCGCATGTCGTTACAAATAAACTTTCTGGAGATGCCACTGAAAGAGGAAGAGAGTTCGCTCAATTGATTTCTTCTAATTCTCAAAACTTTGAAGAGACACTTTTGAAGCTACACAGTATTAGGTGCGTTTCTCCTTGCTCATGATGTAGGACAGCTGTTCTAGAATACCTTGGGGTTTCAGCAAGTTAGCTCTTGTATTCGGAGGAGAGACAACAGTGAAACTGAAAGGTTCCGGATGCGGTGGAAGAAATCAAGAAATGGTTTTGTCCTGTTTGAAACATTTGAAATCATATTTCTCTTCCTTCTGTTTCTCATTTCTTTTCATGAGCGTCGGAACTGATGGCCTGGATGGTCCGAACAACGCTGCTGGAGCAATCATTACGGGTTTTCGATAGTTTTGAAATTGAAAATAAAACTGATTCTAGAGGACGATGTCAGTAAAGCAGATTTGGATCAATGTGAAAATTCATTGAACAATTCGGATTCGTATAACTTCTGGAAGACTTTCAACCAAGGTCTTAGTCATGTTGTGATAGGACCAACTGGTACCAATGTGATGGATGTTCAAATTCTGCTACTTACAGTGAATAAAGCTTAGGATCGCATTTTTATGTAAGAAATACCCCCAATTTACAAAAAAATAAGTTAAATAAATATCACAAACAGAATGCTTTTCCATCACAATTTAATATTAGAACAATGAAATATGCGTGTTGGCGGTAATTTGAATTGGTGGTATCCTTAAACTATCTCATATCTTTCTGTGATGAATCGTGATTCGGAGGAATATGTTACAGGGGCTCCGTCCATCTTTTCCGCTCTTTCGACCTGAAACAATTTTTTCAACTGCGTTTTCCTGTTCAGATCTTACCGAAATATCTGCGAAAAGTTTTTCAGAAGAGAATTTCACTTGGACAGGGAAGAAGTGATCAGAATGCCCATTAGGAACTGTGAATTCTAATGTACCGGAAGAGTTAGAACTTTCAATAACAGGAAGAGTCCATAAAATTTGGTTTCTAGTCTTTTGGAACTCATACGATCCCTCACATTCAGAAACTACTGGGGCAGTGGCAGGTCTACAAGAACGAATTACGTTTGCGAACATAGAAGTGAAACATACGGCAAGGGGACGACAATATTCACATTTTCCAAAGACAAATCATCTCTTTGCAGAGTATATTCAATACTAACTTGGCAACCATCAGAAGACTCCTGAGGCCAGCAGTTCACTAAAGATTCAAAAGTTAGAAAGGAAGAAACATTCCATCACTTACAGACAAGAGGAAGCTGATCCTCTTCAGTGAGCACAGATTTCCATTTCAGAACTCCAACATCGGTATTCACTGGGAATGGCTTGTTCACGCTCTTCAATCTCAATATAGATGATGCTTGCCAATCCTTCTTTTCCAAGTTGGGGTGAACTTGAAGCTGGACTCCAGGTGGAGCGTTGTTGTTCATTCTAATAGCAACGGTACTGAATTCAGGACTAGTGACTGAGAGAGATACGCTTCCCAAGACCTGAAAAAGTGTTTCATGAGTTAATAACATGTCGAAGCTCTTACTTCGGCACTCTGAAGACCACCATCACGGCTGACAGAAGCCAAGATTTTCTCTTCTGCTCTGATATGCACAGCTTCTCTTTTAACGTTGGAAACTGGAGCAACAGCGGCTGTAGTAGAAGTGTTATCGCGCTAAAAAGTCAATTTAAATAGAGAAAAAGAGGGAATTCTCACTGTTGTTCTTTCAACTGGAGCGATAGTTTGTCCTTGTTGTTGCAATTGACTCAAGAACTCATCTTCATCTCTGGTCTTAGCACCCAACTTTAATGCCTTGCCACCACCAGCAGGACGAATTGGTGCTTTTGGTGCAGGAGCTGGATCTTGTACAGCAGCGAGCGGAGTTGAAGAAGAAGAAATTCCGGAAGAAGAAGAAAATGAAGATCCTATTAATAATCCAGATAGAAGATTCAGTAAAGTTATTAATACCGGCAGATTTTCCATGTCCTTTGTTGAGTGCGTCTTTCTGCATTCTCTTGAACTCTTTAGCTTTCTCAGCCATGGCTTGCTTGGCTGCTTTTTCTTGAGCCTCCTTGATTTGAAGGAAGACACGTTCCTCATGAGAATCCATTTCAGTGAATGTTCTGATTTGGGCAAGGTTTACGCTCTCACGGTAACCAAGTGTAACAACCTGAACAACAATTAATGTGTTAAGAATTACGAAATGAATAATTGACCTCATCAAAGGCGTGGATAAGGTCGAAAGAGTGAGCTAAGATTTCCTTCTCTTCGTTAGAACGACAGTACTCGGGTATCTAAGACAAATCAACATTGAAAAGCAAGGAAGAGCCCAGAACTCACAACACGAGAGAATAATCGAAGAGTTTCCAAGTCTTCGAGAATGTTAGAAGTCTTGGTGGTGAGTAAAACAATGTAGATATTGTCCAATGGATGGAAGACATATCGAATACTATCGGTTTCTATGAAGGTATGTTGTCTTTGTGCTGAAAGGAAAAAGTTCCTTAGAGGTAGACAAGAACCGAATCCCAATTAGTTTGGAAGCAAACAGTTACAAAGAACTAATTCGATTAATGGATGCAGAAAACTATTATAAAAGTGCTCTATTATGGTGAAGTTAGTAAGACTCAAACTATTAATAAAAGGGGGGATACCATAAATATCTAACCTGGATTTGTAGAATCTAAAGTGAAAGATTAGGAATCGAGAGTTATGTATGCATGTAAGATCGCTAATCATGCAATCTTCAACTGATAAATCTTACCTGTATCTTTATCGTTTCCTATAAGCTTAGGAAAAGCATCAAGCAGTCCTTCCAAACGAGCTCTGGTCATATCTGACACAAAGACTCTAGCGACAAGCGCTAAATAATACTTCAGATATTTCGACCAATATAAGCAAGTTACCTTTTCCAGTCTTTGAGAACACACTAGCAGCCAACAAAACCATTTAGTTCCCTTAATAATTTAAATATTCAAATGTAAAAAAGTTAAATATATCTATATACACTAACTTATTAAACATATATGAAAATAGCTTCTGGAGGGGATCCAACAACACACGTCAAAAAAAGAAATTCGCTGCAAGACCCATAAAACTGCCGCCCTTTAATTGCTTAGATTTGGACACAGATCTACGTTGCTGAACATTGAGGAAGAAGAAATCATTGAAAATTCAGTTTCTAAAAACTTAGATTTGATGCTTCACAATAGCTTTGAGTTTTGATGATATAATTTAATTCCGTTAACACATTCTTGAAACACTTATGATTTTCGACTCCAGCACAGGTAGTGCAACTTCCGTATCTCATACTGGATTGATAAATTTATTATGCTTGATTTACCGATAAAAGTATAATATGAGAACATAACATCTCACCATCGGGTCCATTGGTCACACAATATAACATACAAGATCGCAGTTTAAAAATTAGAAAAGGAGAGTTAATGATAGTTCGGTGATGAGTTAAAACCCCTGGTTCCCCATTCTCTCATCTATCGATCTATTACTCGACATTATTGTGTCTGCGTTTTTATCTTCTTTCCAAATTCATGACCATGAATATGATATTCTTGAGGTAAATTCTGAAGGAGTATTAATAAGTTTTACAGCTTTGAGTTGTAAGTTGAGTTGACCTCATGTAATCGAGAATTGATAATGTTCATCTGTTAGTAGAGGTCACAACTTTATCTGATATATTTGCCCTACATTTAGACGACCCATACGGGATACGGCGAAAAGTTTTAACCGGCCGCTGTTGCACTGTTTATCGGTACCTTAAGAATAAAAACCACAAATGAAGATGAAAAGATGACGAGTCCTATAAATAATGAGGATACCGAGGCATTTGTCTGAGTGGTGAATTTTAAAACTTATAAACCTATATATACTGATCGTGAAACGTACAACGTTCATGAAGAAAGGGCAAGCTCTTTTGCCAATACTAATATTTTCTGTGAAACGTACACGAGTCGGGATTTGAATATATTAACTTTTCACCCAAAACGATTGATTTCTATGAAATTTTATCGACTATTGTGAGCAAACAAAATTTTACATCAAAGAACTAACAAGAAGTTTCATTTTTGAGTTATCGGAAGCCCAGACTTTTTACTTTTTGCTTCTTTCCTGATTTCCTGATTTCGGCAGTGAGAATAACATTCGCATTCAACTAGTACTTATCACAGAGATTATCATTTCACGATATAAACACTGGGAAAGGTTATTACTTTCATTTAAAAATCGTTTCCATAGGAGCAACAAGTTAAACTGCGAAATATACAACATATACAATGACGACGAATGATTTGAAACCCGTAGTAGTCGACAGGCATAAGACACTCCGTGAGGTGTTCTCATCTAATCAACAAAATGAAAATATTATTTTTTGTAAATGATATCGATTTAGAATTCTTTGATTACAGACGCTCCAATCGCTGCATTAGGGGCAGACTTCGATAACTGCGCTTCAACATCTAGTAACTGTTTCATGGTATCAACCTTAACATGTATATGATGATTTGTTTCATGAGAGAATGATCTTACTTTATGTTTGAATCGTCCCAAGGAATGGGATACACGGTTCTTATGAATCAAATATGAGAACAAAATAAAGATGACGACGACAGGAACTGAAATTGACAAAAGTTTTTTGATTTCTTCATTTCACTACACTCACTTATCATTGCCGTAGTGATATATCCTGCTGTTCGATATCCAACTGCATCGAACTTGACGAAGAATATAATCGCAATTTCCACTAAGAAAAGAAGTAGCCCAATGCAAGTGGAAAAAAGCCATGATAGGTCAATGTAAAACCTAAGAAAATGATTACAAGAAGTTGAAAGTTAAACATACTTGAGACGAAGATGTGGTGAATCCTGAGTACATCCTGTTGCTTCCATGTAGGGCAAAATACATGTGGACATCATAAGGGCTAGTAAATGAACGGATACAAGGAGTGAAGTAACTACTCCAAGAACGATAAGTAGCGGTTTTGGAGTATCTTCATCATATTGTAATTCTACAAGAGCTACCTGAACAAGCAAAGATTAAAATTATCAATGTTGAGTCACTGACCATAGCGAAACCAGCAAGCAGCGCTGATGTTCTTGAGCTCGCTTTTAATTGCGCTTTACTCAAATCATAATTATATTTTTCAGCCATATCTAGTTCTCCTCTATGTCTGAAACATTATGAATTGGAAAAAAATCAATAATGTGTTCATATTGTTCTCTCTATTTGTTTTAAAACTTGTGATACTACCTAAGATCGGGTTCGTCCTTAGGTGACATGGGGGGTGTTGAACCTTGGAGCATCGACCTCAGACTTCTATTAGAGCCATTTTGAGAGGGAGGTTGCAGATAAAACTGCGGTAATGGCCAAGGAGGTCCTCCTGATTGGGTAGCATGCCAAGTTTGTTGGCTAATATCATCAACTGATATGGATACTCTGGGCATGCCTTTTTTCAAAAGAGCAGCCCTAGTAGGGTCATAAGAACGCGGCATCTGAGCAATTCAAAGGTATGAAACATTTAGATAGCATTAAAATTATGTCGATAAAAATAGATGGAGAATCATTGTGCAAGCAAAAAGGAGTCATTTGAATCAAGATTTGGAAGCTTTGAACGATCAACCCCCCTTCACATGATTTTCATATCATGCTGATGTAGATAACGTAGCGGAAACTGAGGAGAAGCCTACGTAAACAGTTAAAGATAGGAGTTTGTTTTACAATTATGACGTAAATCAATTTTAAAAAGGAAAAATGTATAAGAAACTATGGGCGAGTGACCTCTTGCTCATACAAGTGAAGTCAATGATTACCTTTGAGAAAGCATTGGAGTGTAAGAAAAACTAAGTAAAGAAATAGACAGTTTTTTCATGGAAAAATGATGTTGCCATGATTAAGCTTATCAAATGATATGATCAAGTTTCAAGGTACGAAAGATATTCTATAGATGCGCATCGATTTCGTTCAGCTTATTGTTTTGCTTTCATAAACGCTTGAGAGAGAGTTGACAGGATGATTCAACAGTGGCATTTGCAAATGCACTGAACAGAGTGAGAAGAAACGGACAAAAAGAAATGAGAAAATAAACAAATTCAGATGATAGCTGAATAGTTCAGACGTTTCAAACAAAAGAAAGGTAAAACATGGTGTATCTAGTGTTGTAGGTGTAGAAGACGATCGCTAACGTCATGGACAGAGTTGACGACTAGGCATCTCTAAACTATTCTGTCGAGAAACTGATAACATCGCAGACACACAATCAGCCATTATGAGAACCTTTAATAGAGCTCTGTCATCTTTTAACGAGGCATCTCTCCTTGTAATGTACTATTGCAATTCCAGAGGTTCATAAAAGCTCAAAAGATGAACTGAGGAAAAAGGACATGATATGGCTACAAGGGTAATGGCATACATGGTGCAGTTGTTCATCACTCCTAACACCTCTAAGCGTGATAATACTCTTTTAGATAAGAATAAACAGAGAGAACGAATAGGAAACAATAGGTAACAAAGTGAATGCAGTAACTTACTCTTTACCGAAAGTGCGAAGCACAGGTGAGAAGGTTGGCTGCGACGGGTGCACCATTGGCGGTGTTTGTGCGATTCCGAATTGTACTCTACAACAAAAACTAGCTATAAACGTATTTATGTGTGTGTGAGTGAGTAGGACAATGGACAAGGAATAGCCTACAGTTGAACATCAGAGGTTTCAAAGATGACCTTTCATCATTGAGAGGATATAAGGGTGGACGAGACATAACTTGACAGCTGGAAAGATAAACGAAGATTTCTCCGCATACCTTAAGAGTGAGGACGGACAGACAACACACTCTTGATTGATTGATTAGTTGTAGGTGAAGCTGACAAAGTTTCATGGCAATTCGGGAATTCCTGGTTTCAAGGACAGGAACTTCCTAACTTTCATTGTAATTTAAGATTAGATGAACCATAGATATGATGTTAGACGACTAGTGCAAGTTGAAATTTGGTCTTTTTAAGAATTCTTTTTCGATTTTCTCGCTTGGTCACTTTGTTATATGAGAGGGTAGTTAGGCAATAAGATATACAGATAATTAAATAGAACGATGTATATAATAGCGAAGACCAACCTCGTGGCATCGTTTAGCGACGAAAGAGATGTCCCCAAATGGCGATTGGAAGGATTCAACGAGGACTCTGAAATAAAGAAATGAGTCTGCTATTAGCGTATTACCATCCTTCCCGATTGGAGAATCTTCTCTTAAATATTTTTTTTCAAATGACGGTGAGTAAGTGAACATGTAACTCTTGAGTGATAGAACTCTGGTGAAAACAGTTTGTTGTGAAATACAAGGTAACAAATATGTATAGATGTGTCGACCTATACGTTGAAGCTAAAGGGGGGTCACACGAGCTACGAGGGATCAATATTGGCGTTCTCAGTCCAAACAAAACTTGAAGAGGTGCCTACTAAATTTATTGAATTCAATAAATAAAATAAAAGTATGTATCCTTTCAAAAGGTAAAGAAACGACTGAAGTCACTCAAATTGATAAACTAAGAACGGATTATTGCACCCGCTTACGTCATGTCTGGTTGGCAGCGGGAAGGGAGGAGGTATACATACAGACAAATTAATATTTAGATACGAAAAAAACTCATTAAACCAACCAATTAAGTTAGATTCTTCTTCCATAGGTTCATTAGATGAGGAATAACATGGGTTCTGATTCATTTCAAGGGGTAAAGGTTGTTTTGAACTAACGCCCTTCACTTCACAGACTCGAACCATGTGGACACACAGCCACGAAACGAGGACCGCCCCTTATATATATATAAACTTCTTGTACTGTATAGGGGAATCTTTTAGAAAAAGAAAACGAGAATGAAAAACATTAGATTTCATTAAGAAACGAGGTTAACAGTCACTAATCGATATTACAGAATTCATGAGTCGTTTGGCAGAGACACTTCACTTCCAGCTGTTCAGCATTGAAAAGGGAAGAGATTCATGACAAGTCCAAAGAAATAAATTTGGGGAAATGGCTATCACTCCGACGGTTTTCATAGAAAAATTCTAGCAAATAGCACTATCTCACATTTTCATCAACATTTATGGCCGTGTAAACAAAAAAAACTGCCAGTGTAAAGCTTAGCTAGATTCTCTAACTCATAACTTCAAGTAAACAACTTCCGGTTACTAAAGCTACTTTAAATTATGAATCACGTATAGTCGGATACCGTAGCTCCTAATAAAATTTAGTCGTATTTTACAACTTACAACAAAAAAAAAAGGATATTTTACAACGTATTTTGTAGTATTTAGAGTCGTGAGTGGAAAGTGATTCATAATCTCATGAATAAAATCTTTTTCCGGAAAATTTTTTGTGCAAGAAGGATATGCGATAGCAAAAGGTGCAAATGATTTGACTTACTATGCAGTTGTTGAGTCATTCTCTCCAACTCTAACTTGGCCACATCAAGATGTAAAACATCGGCAGAATAGTTCCGATGTTTCTCTTCCAGGAATCGAGTTCTGTTGGAGGTTCCAGCTGAAATAATTCCCATAGTTATTAACTGGAGTATGAAGGTTAGTTTTTGTCTCTTTTTCTCCAACAACTGTTAGTTTTCAAAAAAATTCTCAAAAAATTGAAAACAAATCTGTTGATAAATCTTTCAATGAGACCTGTTGTTTTTAGTATAGGAAGTTAAGAACTTTGAAAGAAAAATGAGAAAATTGCCTGTTTGCAGCCTGTCAACTGGACGAACTCTCATGATTGAAATGAGAAGGGTTAGAATGAAACTGAGTTATCCGCACCATTTATTTGGTAATCAGTGGTTTTTCAAGAGGATTTAGTAATTCATCGTAAATATTTTTAGGTTTTAATTTTCGAAGTTTAAAGTTCAAACGCTTGGAAAGGAAGTTGCATGAGAGAGATAGTATGGAGCACTGTCAGTTATAGTTTACTTTATGAATTATTTTGTCATCTTATTTTGTGTTCTTTCAGGTTTAACATGAAAACTAGTTTTGTAAAGTAACTCACCTATTCTAGCAGGATTATTAATTATCCCTATTTTGCTCTCAAAATCGTTGAGACAGGCGGCTGACATTGTTCCTTAACACAACATTGAACACGCATCATAGGTTTGAACTCACTTTTGTGTTGCTTAAGCTTCATAGCTTCCTTGTTTCGTTTTTCTAGATTCGTTTCGGAGTCAGACACTGTAAATTCCAATGTTACCACAGGTTATTTTTTTCAGTTTTAATGTTTTTTCTTTTTTTCAGAGGCTGTTTTCAATGTTAAAAGTATTAAACTAACGTTTTCGACGAATTGTTTGACGGGGCGTCCAGTAGCCGGCGAGTGAATCCCTCGACTCAGGATCGTTGAAAGGTTGATTATCGGTCGGCTTCTGCGTTAAAGTAACATGAGCAAAGTTTGCTTATGTTTGTGCATACCAGCTCAACAACCTCTATTTTCTTTATCTGAGTAACCGAGGTAGTGATTTCCTGTGGTTCCCTCTCTGGAGGAACTATTATTTTGGCCACTTTCACCGGCGGAGGCTCAGAGTTCGGTACATCCTGCGTATTATCGTCACTCATCTGTCTGAAAAATAGAGTGGTCGATGATAACATTTTCAATAATTGAAAAGAATAACCAAGATGTTTGTTGGTGTGAAATTCAAATGGAGTTTTGTGACAAAACGCTCGTAAACTAGTTCGAACGTGTCATTTCAAAAGTAGGCAGGTTAAAGAACGATTGTTTTTCTTTCATCTCATTAATCAAATATTAGTAGATACATGTAGAGTTCTTATCGAAAAGGAAAGTGTTTTTAAAAGAAATCAACAAGTCTTCGGAAGTCTAATTTTAAAGTTTTTCATTTGGAGCCTAAGTACTGGGCGAAAAAGGATTGGAAGAAGTAACAGATTCGAAGTAATGTTAGACTCGACTGATTTCATTTGGTGTGGAAAGTTCAAACACACGGACAGATTAGTCTATCGGTAATTTTTGCTTGGAAAGATAAGTCGTTCGCATATACATCAAGTTGTAGAATGAAGAACAGACTTTTGGAAACAAATAAAAGATTATGACTGATCTAACTTAAAAATGATGTCAAATGAAAATTTAGCATGAAAGATAGAAGATCGCTGAGAGAACACAGATGAAGAACAGTTAAAAACAGTTCACCCACGCTTAGCCTTTGGAGAAAAGAAAAGGTGGGCACGTCCGACGACGTTTGTATTTTTGAAGAACGAAAAGGAAAAGGTAAACAGATGAAAACAAAGGTTATTTCGAACTTCAAATATGAAGGAAAGTCGTTCTGAAAGATGATAAACGTTTCAAAAATCATAAATGGGTCATGTCTTTACGGTGATCAAGATCATCTGGATTAAGACAGAGTTAGTTTAAGACCAAGACTAATGTGACAACAGTTACACTATGCCATTTAGCCCTTACGAGAGAAAATCAGAGATGGAAGAACAGACTACTGCTGTCGCTTCATGAAAATTAAAACGACCTTACCACTATCATCAACAAGTTCCAAAAGCACAACACATATATGGAAAGAGGATTATTCAAAATTTGTGAAAATTCATTTGTACTGTCTGAAGTTCGACAACTTTGATATAAATTCCTGTTAGTCACAGATCGTTAAGAGTCCACCGGAAAGATGATTCCTTTGTTTCACAAAGGACAAGCTCTAAGACAAACTGTTCTCTATGTCACCCGCCCCAAAAAATAACGTATGTGACGTCAAAACAAAAGTAATAAAGATTCATCTGTTTCGTATCAAACAATTAAAAAACAATTGGAGACAACTCAAACAAGTAACAATAACGAATTATATCCAACAACTTTTCTGTTAATTTGCTTCCTTCTGAGGACTACCACGTCCACTTCGTCGTCGCACGCGCTTCGGGCTAGCGGAACGATCTATCCTAGTTTGTAAGTGATTGAACCTATCGACCCAGTATTGGTTCTCTCGTAATATCAATTCCATATTTTCCGGACTACAACGGAATGAAGAGTAAAGAAGATAAAACAAAGAATTACTTATTCAAGAATGTTTGATCAGTATCAATTTTAAGCTTCCAGGTCTTGTCTCCTTTGACGCCGAATGTTGACAAAATTTGATCAGCACATCCAACATTCAGGAGGAAACATCTGATAGAAAATGTTAAACAGATGCAAGGAGACGTATAATTACTTCGACAAAGTGGTTCTGTTCACTTTATGCCCAGAATTCAAAAGAGCCAGAGCCAAGTCTCTGGCCTCTCTCCAAACTTCTGAACGGGCTTCGTCAATCTGAATCACACATTGATACTTTGATATGAGAACTTGAATTACCTTTCCAGTAGAGACTGCATGAGCTGGTGGCAAGTTATTAAAAAGGAATTCCGACTTCAGCACCCACACTCCACAAACCAAATGAGCACACTTAGATAAACCTTCATACAACTCAGAGGTTGGAATCTCTGGATATATCAGATGAGCCAAAGTATCAGTTCTTATAGCTCGAGCTAAAAAAGAATAACAAGTCAAAAAAGTTCCATTCAAAAAGATGAACCTTTGATCACTTGAGCTTTGATTTGGAGATGTGGTGGAAGTTCCCTAATCCGTTGATGAGACATTTGCTGATCCGTATTCGTCAAATCCCTGAAAGTTTAGACTTCATTGGGAAAGCATGTTTAGTCTACAGTTGGTCTAATTTTCCACAAATGATAGCTCTCTGAACAATCTCCCTCATATCTAGCGTAGGTCTCTCGGCGTAAGTCGTGTCCGGAGAATTGGATAGTTCATCCCATTTCCCATTAACTGTACTAGTCTGAAAACTTTGAAATGAGATAGATAAGCGACAACAGATGATACGTCGTCTAAGTATACGTCCATATTAATCCAATGATCACTAGCTATCAATTTTTCTCTATGGAGAGCACTTGCTTCTCTCCTGAAGGAAAATATCGATTAAAAGAAAAGAAAACTGTTCAACCTTTTTTTCTGTCTCTCAGTCTCAGGACGAGAGAATTTAATTCTTAATGGCTGGCTACCTCCAGTATTTTCGGTATCAGATTCTTCCGTGATATTACCATCTTCTTCTTTTCCTTTAAATTTACTATTGATATTGGTAATTGATCGTTGCATATTGAACGTTCCACTAATTGGACATATATAAAATTTTTCTGAACGATAATTTAGTATTTGGGGTTGAGACTTTGATAAGAACCATCTTTGAAGAAACCCATCGCATATTGGAGAGGATTGTAATCGGAAAAAGACCGTCCTTCATAAATTTCATCGGATTTACACTGTCCAACACTAATAATGAGCGAATTATTTTGAAAATATGAGGATACTCACGGCTCAGGTTTTACTTGTTGGTTTGCAGTCATCACGTTGAACTTTGATTTATCGAACGAGGCACTATTAGTATCAGCTGCTAGACGCATTTCCATCATTTTTACGTTTTTCTTGTAGCGGAGACGGGGTTTAGCATCTACATGGAATGTTTTCTTCTTTCGTGTTGGGAACTGAATTCGGTAAAGCTCTGTATGCGGGAGATCTTGGCAAATGAAGACGTCGTGCTTGAATAGAAAAAAACATTGAATTGAGACTAGTAGTCTAATTTACCTCTAAAACTACATCATCTTCGTCAATATTAGATTGTTCCTGTCTCTTGACTCGTCGTTTAGGAGGCATCAGTCAAAAACCCTAAAAAAAGTTGAGTTAAATCTAAAAAAAACAATTGAAAAGAGGTTAGGCATTATAGAGAGACAATGTATGTTAATCAGAGGCTTATTCATGTCAACGTGGAAAAGTTGCGTGTGTCCGAAAATTTATACGCATTAAGTACTTTTTTCATTTGTTTCAATTAGTTAATAAAGCTTCTAACGTCGTTGGGATCTTATTTTTTTCAATGTAGCTTCTTCTTTTTGATCATTCTTTAGAAACAGTATATTTAATTTCCTTACACATTCACTGATGTTCGTACCGCCATGTCGTTTACGGAAGTTCTCTCTCAGTCTCATTTCCTAATTTAAGAAGTAAAAAGCGGTTGGAGATGGTTCACGACAGAGGCCGTCTTCAGCCTGTTTTACGGGCTTCTGCTAGACGTTCCTTAGCATCACCTGCAACTGTTGGTTCACCAAGTTCTATAATTGGTAGTCGTAAAGAAGTTGTAATTAATCAACTTCCTTTAAAGGTAATCAGTACTCAGTAGTTTATAGTATTACATTTTAATTTCCTAGGATAAGGATGTTGTACTCGATATTATGGATACTAAAAAATATGAAGAATTAAAATTCGATATTAAACGTGTAGGAGGAAATATTGTTGATTTCATATCTGAAGACAAACCGCCGTTCCTGGTAGTCTCTGATCATGCTATCGCATCAAAATTAGAAGTTAAAAAACTATATGATGGAGTTAAAATAGAACCCGAGGTAATGAAATAGACTTGGTATTATGATCGTTGTTTTTTTTAGCTTCTGAGAAAACTTCCTCTCATGCTTAAAGATGCTGTGAGACAAAGGATTCGAGTTAGGCATGTGAAGTCTTTCACAACATGTTTAGCGAGAGCTAAAGCTTTGGTAAAATCATCCAGAGCATCATTAGGACTTACCAATGCACCAACCAAGGCTCCAAGACCTTCCGTGAGTTTTGCAATACCGTATTGATTATAAAACAAGAGTTACAGTTGGTTGATAAGCCAAGATTGCTTCAAGAACCATTTATTAAATATGAAGACTCAACGGGTATGTTCTCGCCCTCATATAAGGTTAGTTGCCACGTAATAACATCGATTATCATTGTATTAATTAGGAGTTTCGAGCTATACCTAATAATAATTTCGCAACAATATATTTGGGCAAATACTTCGGACTTTCCTTGTTCCATCAATCCACTGCCGAACAACAGGAACGAAGGTTTGCTTTTCTCCGAAATGAAAAAAAATGAAGACACTTCACTTCAGGCAAAAAGAATTAGAAAATAAAGGAGCGGAAGAATGTAATTCTCAACCAAAGCCCGGCTATATTTCAAAACCTAGGAAAAAAGGAGGATTCTGTGAAATTTGCTCGAAATCGTCCGATAACCTTAGACTGGTTAGGCTGCTTTTTTTTTCCATCATCGCATCGTTCTCTGTTTCAGCATTTTTCTTCTAAAGAACATCTTGCCATCGTTAATCAACCCGGTTTCTATGACGAAGTAGATACTCTTCTTGGTTCATATGTTGAACACATAACGGTAAGAATGCGTATCATCCTTGTTCTCATCCAGCTTATAATGTAGATTCCACACACACGGACGTTAAAACGAAAAACGACACCATTGTCGGTATCGGTTAAGCACTGTTAATATGTAAGGAGATTATTACTGTGAAATTATCAGGTTTTATGCTCGGGATTCATCATAAGTACTGTTAAAAGGTCTAAAAATTCAAGTTTTAGTTAAGGGTTAGACCGAGATAGATGGGGTTCCATCTTGGTTTTGAACTAATCTTCGCATAACATTTTCAAAAGATGTACAAAATATATCTTTTTAGCTTTTTTTCATCATTTTGCCTTCATATTTATTGGCTCAATCTGTTTTTGGTCAAGCCTATGTGCTTTAATAGTAATTTTGAAGAATTACTGCAAATTTCTGTATTAGGTATATGGAGAGAAAAGAATCTTAACAAAGGTCAGCTTTTCACATGTTATACTCAGAGAAACTCATTTGTTCAAATAATTTCGCTTGTAAACTGTTCATTCGTTTTCTCGGTTACTCATCTTAAATCAACGAGGTTTTCGGAATATAGGTATCATTTGTTGCCCAGTGATTTGCTCGTTAAACTTGTTCGAAGAATACTGCCTGCCCCCCATTATTGTTGTTTCAGGCTTAGTTATCATTGCTTTGTATTGGATTATAAAATAAATTTTATTTCCTCGCGCTTATTTTTCCTTCTTCTCTACCATCACTTCGCTTTCTTCTTCTATTGTTTCTTCGTGGCCGAATACCTTTTCAGCCAAATACCTTCAAGTCTTTTTTTGTAAAATAAAAAAAAAAGTTGTTACTCACCAAGCTACGATTGGACTAAACCAGTATACGATAAGATGACCCAAATGACTAACGCCCTCACAATTGAAAGTGCATGCCCATGCAACGATCGGATTAGCATACATGCCAGTATAATTAATGCCTTTCATGGATGAATATTAATATCTGAGATTATGGGAGAGTCTTACCGATGGCGCACAACAGACCACTGAATGTACTGTTCAGTAGCGCACATGTGCGACTTCCCTCGTATACATCATCTGTCCATTTCTCGAAAGCTTTAGCGAAGAAAGTGGCGAAGCCTTCTACTAGCATTCCTGTTGTTAAAGCCACCTGAATATCTCATAAATTTTTGAGAAGTGGGTGTTGAAACCGTTAAATCAGCTGTGCAGCTACGTTGTTCGAGTAATTCGATATGAACTTTATGAATGTGAAGCCTCCAAAACGTTCTAGCCAGGAAATAGGAGAGATATGCAGCAGCAAACTGCACAATAAAGACGTAAACGACTCTTTTTATGAATTTCCATTTCCGATAACAAGAGGTAATCTGAACGATCTTCCCATTAAGAAAAAAAAATCACATTGTGGGACCTACAATAGGGCAAGGTTGGGCTATGCAATCTCTTATGAATAAACTGTTGGCGTACTCAAGAACCTTAAACATTTTGGTTAAAATTGAGATACCTTCATCTGAGCTTAGCTGTAATCTCTACGAACACTCCTATCAATCCATAATTATCTAAAATCGTGCCGACGTCGAACATAGGAGCACATATTTGTAATGTGCCAATGAACTAAGAAGTTTCAAAGTTATACTCAGAACTTATACAAGTAAGAACCTCTAAAAGTAACTGCTTAGATAGACGATTGTTAGGTCCAGGGATAAACCGCAGTACCAACGTGCGTAGAAACTCACAGATTACGAAGACGAAGACGTAAAAGAACAAGGAAGCTTGCCATATACGCATTATAAAGGTATACAAGGTTTTCAACTAGCTTATAACTAATAGATAAACTGGAACAGTGGTTGAAATATCGATAAGCTTTTGTGCGCTAGTCGATAGTCATCGACTACTTCGCCATGTGCTCTATTACAACAAACAAACATTCTGCTGAGCTCAAACATAAGCTGCTTCAAAAAATTGAAAGATTTCAAGTTTTCATAAGAAATTCCTCTACAACATCCACGGTCTCTCTGTTTTTGCCACCTCCAGCAAGAAAATCGCTTGATTACTTGCCAATCAACGGCTTGATTGCTGATGCTTGAGAATGAGTATAAAATTTATAGTTATTAAGCAACAAGAACAATCAACAAAAAATACTTCTACGAACTATACTCTGTGCTCTTGAAACGTTGATGAGAAACTAGAAGAGAATGGAATATTTCATAGGCACAGAGCTTCATCCTATTATACTAAACCTAATCAAAAAGACCCGCTTTCTTATCCTCTTCGACTAACGACTTATGAGTTCCGTCGCAGAAAGGTCTAAAGCTCAGAATTTATGAAAACCATGATATATGCTTAATATACCTATTGCTAGTTTGCTTACAATTACATAACCACACTGTCATATCTTCCTCTGGGATGAATCTCACAGGCTTCAACTTCAAATCAGGAACCCTGATAGAATTATGAGATCCGTCACAAAGTGGCTTCAAAGCGAAGTTTATAATTGGAACATTAGAAGACAACTAACTTGATTACCACTATAGCCACAAGAACACCAGGCATAAACTTTATCTTTCTTCATATGAACCTAAAAGAAGAAAAAGAGTAGTTTACTATTTTAATTATACTAGATCATTAGAACGAACAGCGCAATTAGAATAAAAAACTTGTCACGTGAGATTGACGTGAGGCCATTTTCATTTCAATCTTCACGCATTTCTGAACGCGGTTGCATTCTAATAATCGGTGAAATTGCGAAAACAATTCTAGTGTATAATAGCTTCAACGCTCACCTTTACAGGTAGTTTACTGTGGACTTTTCCTTTATTGGGAAGAAGATGGTTATTACCTTGTAAGCCATATGATTCGCTAGGTTTTTTATCTTGAAGCTATAATAACTTATTCCATTAATCAAGCATGGTTTAACCTTACCATATGATACTTGAGTGAGTTAGGTTCAGTGCCTACAAAATGAGTGCCCTTTCGGAAAAGTCTATTCGGACCAAAGCCTGTTTTTTGACTGAAGTTAATGACGCTAAAGGCTATTCGAGCACATGAACTTTGTTGGACCATTCCTAGAATCAGGAAATGTTATCGATTTCGCATGGTTTAAACATGGTAATAGAAAGAAATCTCAAAACAATGGTTTTATTAGTACAATCTTCACAAAATATAAAGACAGGATCAGTTTCAACGAGCAGAAATGACATGTTTGAAAATAAAATTAGCTCCGGAGGATGGTGCTTAGTAATAGGAGCTAAGGTCTGGCACAGAAGATGTTGCTCCCACACTCTTTATGAAAAATTCAACATACGACAGAAAGCAGAAAAGCATTCAACGTTCGTGTTTGTTTGAAGTTTTGATAACCTTGTTTTTCTCAAGAACTTGATGAATAATAAGCCTAATTATACTATTAGCTGAGCGTGATATATGAAGGTAAGCTTAAGCTATTTGAGCGCAGATTCTGAATGGATGCAAGCGCTGCATGGTATTTAGCTCCGCCCACAGCTATTGTGTTCAGCGTGTTCGTTCGTTTCCTCTATGGAACATTGTTCATGTATTCGTTATTCCGCTTGAACTAATTTAATTAAAGCTATATTTTAAAACAAACTGAAGAGTAATAATGTGAAATCCGCTCTGAGCTTTAAAAGTCGCGTATTGATTTAATGTTGAAATGAAATCTAATCTTTGTTTGAAGAGTAATTAACATTGACTCCCGACCAATTTGTATCGATATTGCTCATAAGTCGATTTCGTACATCACATATAACTCATTTTAACTTCGAAAAAATATATTTACGCGCTGTAACAACTGATTTTCTGACTTGATATTTAGCATGACTCATATTGAAACTGTGCTTGCTGATAAAGCCTACCGTTGTTTTCCTAAAGCGACATGTATATCTTTATTACGAAAAAAAAGCTCTTTCACTTCCTTCATTAATTGTATTCTTGTCTGTTGTGTGTTCTCTCATTAATACTCATTAATGTCAACAATATTTCAGAGTAAGATGCGCATTTTGTAGAACACAATGGTGTCCATTTCAAACTTTGGTAATTAATCTTTTCCACTCCTTCTATTCTGTTATTTCTTTGATAGATGTTGTATCCGTTGGTGTATCAAATGGTGTCTACGAAAATATGACAGAATCGCAATCTATCGATGAAGTTTTGGCAGATAAAGGCTTGGAGGATTCAGGAAACTTCGAACAAGATTCACCATCGAACTCAAATGAACAAGTTTGTATTGCTTTCGTTTCTATTTTAACTTCTACATTCAAGATCGATGAACACTCTTGCTCACCAATGCCTTCATCATTCACTGATGATAAACATATATATACTAATATAAAGGAAATGAATGAAATTAACAATAAGTATGATATTTCTTAGTTATTCTGTCTAATCCTAATCTCGTTTGATTAGATCTCTACCACCAATCCCAGAGCCTGGTTCTCAACCAAAACGTAACTTGAATAATGGATGGTTTGAGTATGAAACAGATGTTGGGAGGTATATGATGTTCTTTTTGTTTTTCTCTCAATATCTATGTCGTAGAACGTACTTTCATAATCCTGAGTTAGAGAAAAGCCAATGGATTCCTCCACGTTTCATAAGAACCCCTGCAGAAGTTCAAGTTTGTTTTCCGCTTTATATTTGGCCATAAGACCTTTTTTATTAGGCCTTTTTGAAAGCAACCAGAGACGAAATAAATGAAAATTTCACGACAACAACAGAGGAACCTGAGATCTCAGAACAATCAGAAGAGTAAAATCAGCTTTTTTTTCGTTCATGCTTTGTTTTGTTTCAGCGTTAGAGACTCTAAAGATTATGATGTGCCTAGAAGCTTACTAGAGGAGTGTAACGCTAGATCTCGAAATTCAAGTGGAAAAGTATCGGAACCAGAGCATAGCACTCATTCGTCGTCAGTCAAAAAAGATCCTGATGTTGTGCTAACATCTTTTTCCTCTAGCGCTGTTGGTTCAGATTTAACAGCATTAGTACAGGTTTGCTCATATCAGAAAACAATTCTTATCAAAACCTTAGGGGGGGCCATCATCAACAACGAAATCTGTACACTCTTCTCCATCTATGGGCAGGTCGCAATCAGTTAAGAATAGATACGGGCAGCTCAAAAATGTGCCACTTCCACAGGTTTGTTAATCAATATAATGTTTTACAATTCTCCACAAAAGGTGTTGCCAACGACAAGTAGTAATTATCCCAACTTTGACGGATTATCACTAGATAAAACAATAAAATCAGCTGATGGTGAGTGTCTTTTCCATCTTAATTTTCACTTCTTAAGCTTTAGATCGGGACGATCGTCGCACATTGGGAGGTATCGAATCCCGCGAACCAGTTAGGACAATACGATCGGGTAATATGGAAATGGTAGGTATTAAGATCATAAACCTCTTAAGTTTTGAAACTCTTATTCCATTACGCAAGTTGTTGTTTTCGTTTTCTTATGTTTAGCATTGTTTTCCACGTGATATTTGCATAATAGATCGCACGTAAAGTTCACGTGGGAGATATATGAGATGAGAAACGTGAAAGCAATGTTACTCATTTCGTTTTTGCTTTTGACTAGACGGCTGCGCATCGCTCACATTGTTTAATTTTCGAATTCATTGCGTCTTTCCAGACACAATGGAACAGTGTTGAAACAGTAGTGAGAACTAAAAGAAGAGAATGGCAAGTGAACTTCTTGTTTTTAACATCGGCTCATCTCATTCTCTATAAGGACCAGAAATCAGCTGAGGTGAAACGGTCCAATATGATATTGAATAAACCATTCAAATATTACAGAAATTGGGAAATCACTATGGATCGCCAATTGGTGTTTGTGATTTGCGCGGTGGAACTGTTAGTTGGAATATTGAAAAAGAAAGAAAGAAGCGTAAAGTCATTCAAGTATGACGATTTTTTTACCGTTTTGTTTATGTAAGTCTTTAGCTGGAAATGAGTTATGGTCCAAAGTATTTGCTTCGAACACCAAACGATAATGAAACCAAGGAGTGGTTCGATGCTTTGCGTGAAGTTATTTGTAATTTGGTAAGTTCTTCTTATGATATATAACATTTCCTGCATGAAAGTGAAAGTTGTCAAAAAAGAATCTTTGGTGAGCATCGCTAGTTGAAATATTCTCTGAATTTGATTGCTGGATTAGTCAGGGTTTGTATAAGGGGCCGGTATAATCGGATCAAGTTGGCGCGTGAAAAGAATGGCTATGAGAGGTATTTGGGAAGACATTTTTTTCTTAATTTATGTGGGGATTGAAATTTCGCACTGAAAACGTAGAATGGGTGTTTTGAGTTACACAGCAAAAACAGATTCCTCCTGGAATCGTAAGTCTTAGTAATGGCTGTCCTGTTTTTTCTTCGACTGTTGCATGATGAAAACATTCCCCAGTTCCATCATGCATTCTCAGTCGAAATGGTTCATATTGAAGAGGTTCTATTCAGAGGTTTGTGGGTTTACTACTGATAGAATAATTCATAGCTTCCAAACAGAGTCTTAGTTTTGTTAAATTTTAGCCTGCTGCTGCTCCAACAACGGGACTTCCACTTCACTCTTCTGTCATTGATCAATCATGTGCTGTAGTTCGGAATCCTTCCACACTTTCTCATCGTCCACATTCGACCTCGCTGTTGTCAACGTATGTGAAATCTTCAGAGATAAATTCATGGATTGCGTTTCAGATCGCGCTTATCGAAGAAGAACGATGTTATGGCACAATCGAGTATTGAGCAATCAACACAATATTCTACGTGTGATGAAACTTCTGTTTCTAGACAAACTATACTAGAGAGATTAAAAAGGTGAGGCTTTTCTTTCTGTAATTCTTATTCTTACATCATTGTAGGTTCTTCCGAACAAGACCAACTGTAGAAAGCTTGAAAGAGAAGGGAATCTATAAACGTAAGTCTTTTATTGTATTTTCGTCAGTATTTGTTTATTTTGAGCTGAGCCCGTTTTTGGTAGTACTTTGGCTAGTATTTGCCAGCTTGAAAACACTCTGGTTCCCAAATTCATCAGAACCGTCACTGAGCTGATTGAAGATAAAGGTTTGGAAGTTGATGGACTCTACAGGTACCTTACAAATATTGTTGTAAGTTGAAAATTGTTTTGCAGAGTCAGCGGCAATTTATCTGCTGTACAAAGAATCCGGTGTCAAGTAGATCAAGGTTTGTGGGAGTTTACATAAATGAGTAATGCTGCTCGTTACAGATAAATATAATGCTCTGGTTAATGAAGAGGACGTTCATGTTCTCACTGGGTCTTTGAAATTGTTTTTCCGTGAACTGGCAGAGCCTGTCTTCCCGATGGCAATGACGAAAGATTTTTTGTCTGCGAATCGTATGATTCATTTGAACTAAGTGTCCTAATATTCTTTTATAGAAGTTCAACAAGCGAAACTGCGATTCAAAAAGTTTGATGAGCTACTGAAGAGCTTACCCCCCGAGAATCGTGAAACATTGAAGCTACTGTTGCGACATTTGCATCGGTAAGAGTTAACCAGGTTGAGACACTAACTTTATTCGGAATTGCAGAGTAGCAGCCCATTCAGACAAGAATAGAATGCAAACACATAATCTAGCAATAATGTTTGGACCAACGTTGTTTTATAATGGAGAAGAGAAGACGAAGAAAGAAAACAATAAGAAAAGTAAGAAGGATAATAAAAAGGTATACACTTTACCCCATAAAGTTTGAGTAACAGAAGATTTGTGTTTCCAGGAAGAACCCGCTCCTGTACAGTCCAACTCCCATCTTGCTTTTCACATGATTATGCAAGGTCAAATCGTAGAATATTTATTAAACGAACATAATCGTTTTGAAGCCCTTCAAGGGCCTGTTCAGAAAAAACCATCATAGTGCTACGTAAGAATTTTAATGTTGCATGTCGTTTGTTTGGTCTTTTTTCACTCATTTTGAGGAGGAACAACTTCTCCTCCAGATTTCGTATTAAATGCACGAACACTCAGTTTCACTGTCTGCTAAGCCATAATAATGACAAATTCCTAGCAGTTCGTATAGTTTTCTCATCATCATTTCCTCCCAGTTCTATTCATCATCTCACTTAAATCCGGAAGCGTGTAATGATCGGTTTTTTTTAAATATGCTGGGCCTTACATAGTTCAATTCTTTGCCAGTTAACGTGCTTTAAGTATATATGTATATGTATCTCTTATATGCTGTTTTTGTGCTCGCAGGAAGAGTCATATCAATTTTTTCACCTGCTCTCACTGCGTAGATTGTGATGCTTAAACTCCGCGGTCATTACCATACTTTACTGGTTAGTCCTTGGTTGTGGTTCCTCTGCTATTTCCCCCTGCTTCTCTTACAATGTTGAAGACATTTTTTCGTTTCGTTATGTATATATATATATGTGTTCCTTATACGAATTAGCTCGCGTTTTGTCAGTCCTGTGTTAGTTTGAGTTGTACAAATGTCAAAGATATTTATTACACTTATGTACTATAAAGCGCCGTAACTTATAAACAAATTATATTTTTTATTGTGTCGTTCATTTGATTTGAGCTGTGAGTCGGTTCACCAATTATCTTGATCGTAAGGCATTTAGTAGATGAAGCAGAAGTATAGAATAGTTAATGAAAGCCAAAAGGCTAGATTGGTTTTTGTCGGAGTTACAGGGATTCGAAAGTCCTAAAATTAAACTCGAACAGTATGCAACATCTCCAGAAATGGCTGGTAAACTTTGACAGTGTTCAGTGTAAAGAATTTTTAATATTCAGTTTCGATCGCTGAGTGTATGGACGATCAGATAGACGATGGTCTGGAAGGGAAAAGTTTAGCAGATTTGGGTTGTGGCTGTGGGATGCTCATGATAGCTACCTCTTTGACATCAGATTTAGATTATTGCTTAGGTTTGTGATAGATCTCGATGAGCGACAATGTGTTTGTTAAGGAATAGATGTTGATACTGATGCACTGAACACTTGCCGAGAAAATATTAATCATGCTGAATTATCTAACAAGTAATTTGCACGAAGTATGATGGTTAGAAACTCGCAGTTCAGATGTGATCTCTTACAAGCTGATGTTCTGAGTCTGGAAAAGACGATTAGTGCACAGTTCGACATCGTTGTTACAAATCCTCCATTTGGAACAAAAAATAATGCAGGTAATTCATCCTCATTCAATAGTGTTTTACATCTAATTCCAGGATTGGACATGCAATTTGTTCAATCAGGACTTTCCATACTGAAAGAAGGAGGATCTTTATTCTCCTTGCACAAAAGAAGTACAAGAAATTATATTTTGAAGACAGCAAACAATTGGCAGAATATTGAAGTATGATGATTATGGTTTTGTCTATGACTCAGATTGTTTTCAGGCGGAATGTGTAGCTGAGCTTAGATGGGAGTTACCAGCTACTTATAAATTCCACAAAAAAAAAGCCGTCGATATTGAAGTTGATCTAATCATGTTCAGTAAGAATGTTTGAATTACATTTGTTTTACACTCCAGGGAGTTAATGAAAAACCTATGAGACCAAACCTTTTTCTATTTCCGATATTTTTTCAATTGTATGAACTCTTTTCATAGGTTTCAGAGTTTTTTTTTGAGTTTGAATAGGGACTTCCTGAATAGGACGAACACGAATGACCTCTCACACTCTGTGACCTCAAGTTTAATTCCAAGTTCAAGAGTAAGCGGGGGATTTTTCGACACATGGCTGTATCCGAGTGCATTTCTAGGCGATGGACTCGAAACTCTGTACTTTGGTTTCGTTTTCGCCTTTTTGTTTATGAGCGATTGATGATCTTCACTGCATCCACCTACGGTTCGAGTTTCCTGATCAAACCGGAACTAAATGTTTCTTGAAGTTGTGTTTCAAGTACTTCCAACTTGTAAACGAGATGATTCATAGTGTTCTGACTGCGCCTACATGGAGTGAGAACAAATGCTGAAACTAAACTCATTTCGTGAAATAGTAAAGAAATGAAAATGAACAATAAGGTTGGCAGTCATTCTTAAGTTCTGGTGTTCTTCAATTAGCTTAACTATGAAATCTCAAAATATAATCATGATCCATGTAATATCAGTAGTTAGCTTAAAGGAAAATGAATCGGGTGAGATGAATTCGAAAGGCATAAGAATAATATAATGAAAAAGTTTCTGTGATTTCTCTATCCCATCAGTTTGAACAACATTACGTTTTTGGTAAGTCAAGCTGGTCTCTTTAACTCCCCCTCTCTCTTTAATGAAAAGATCCAACCGCCTTCCTCTAATTCCCTCCGAACCCGTTCGAGGGTCAGAAAATGAAGGAACTGCATTAATTCAAAGGTTATAAAAGGAGTTTTGACATGCTCCACATCAGATTATCTCGAGATGTTCTTCATTCTTCTACTTCTCACTGTTTCTCAAGTATTTGCTCGATACTACTGTGGACTGGACCCTTATACCAATACTGCTATGGAATTTCATATTCTCCATGACTGCAAACCATTGACAGGTAAAGAAATTTGGTTCAGTTTACCAGCTCGAATCTTCAGCCAATCACGGCAAGTGTTGTATTGATCACGGTCAATGCTATGCCAAACGAACGAAGGTTGAGGAGTGTGATAACGACTACTGTGCTTGCTTACTCAAAATAGAATCCACGGGATTGTGTAAGGTAGGATGAGTATCCATCTTCTTTCAAACACTAGATTTCAGTTCCACGCTGATAACTTTTGCAATCATGTTAAAGCATGGGGACACAACTTTTACCCCATCTTCACTGACCCCAAATGGGGAATAAACTAATGGATTGTTTTGTTGTATGAATACTGTCTTCTTAAATAAAACCTTTATCACGAACCATTGGATTTTTCAGAAGAAAATTGCACAGCATAACTCTCAAGCTAACTGGCAGTTTGAAAGTACCTGAGTTGACTATCAACTTTGTCATCGTTTGGTATTCATCCCAAAGTGATGTTATTGATGATGACCGATCAAAATACAATTCTTAAAATACAACTGAGCCTAGTCCTCAATCTCAAATGTTATATTAGAGAGTCAGATCTTGAATGTTTTCAATTCGAGCCAATCTGAAGAAAACTTAACGATCAAAACCGAATACAATCCGTTCAATCTCTTTTCAGAAGGAACTGTGAGAAGCGAGTGTGAAGCAGACGTTCTTGATGCATTCAAGATAATTGAAACGCTCATTCCTTGTCTTCCAGAGTAAACTTGGATATTATCCCTGATGACTCAGTCGAGTATAGGATATTGCCCTAATTGATAATGATTCAAATGAATCGTTCATTCATCTCTCACTTCTCTGAGAGACTCGGCTTGATCTTGAGTTCAGAAATTACTTTTCATCTTCTATTAGTCTATTCAGAAGTTCATTTTTTGATTCGAAAAGAGGTGATTATACATAATTCCATTTATTCAGGAGTCAGCCCATAATTTCTTACAAAAGATAAATAATTTACAAAGAAGAAAAATGGGAATAGTTAAGATTAATACAATTGGTCAATATCAACAAAGCTATTAAGGACGTCAAACGTATCGTTTTCGCGTAGCTAACACGTAGTAGATAACTCAATATGGTTAACACCAATCGGTGTGTTGACAAAGCTTTTGTTCCACTGGATAAGATCGGTCGAAGAAAACTCCATTGACATACATAGTGGGCCATATCTGAATAGAGGACGATTAGATATGAATCGCTGGATGAAAGCTTACTCTAACTCCGGCACGATGCGTGTTGACCATGGAATAGTAGTTGAGAAGTTCACCAGTTTGTGTAGTAGAACATTCAATAAGCTTCCTGTAATCATAGCATATGAGTTTGTATGATATCTGACCAATCGTACCTCTGGGTGTTTGGTGAAAGGCGGTTCAAGCATCTGGCGAATGCTTCACGTAAGTTGGTCATACCCTGGATGCAAGTAAGTAATCCAAGATGTCTACGTGGGAAATACTGGAATGAGAGAGTGAACATGTAATGTTTCTTGTTTCAATGTTGCTTACTGAAATAGCACAGTTCTGTAGTCTGTTGAGATCACATTCAGTAGCTCCATGCATACATGTGCAATGGAAGTTTCTGTTGTAGTCATAAGCACAATCTCCTTTTCCAAATGGAATGATCTGTCAAGAGGAAGTATGTTATAGCATACTATTCTAGCATGTTTCTATTTTTAGTTTTGATGGTGTTCAAAAATCTCGGAATTGTTTCAATTTATGGCGATCGCCTCTCGAAATACAAGGCTACGTGAGCAATTAGGTCTGTAGAAGAATAATTGGGGTTTTATTGAATTGAAATGTTAAAAGTCTTTTATGACTGACAAAATACTTTGATTACTTTGACATTTTGACATTTTTCGAAGAATTTTTTTTGTCGTCGACATACCTGCAGATTCATGATTCCTGGTTTGCCGACATAAAATGGCCAAATCTGTTCACGAAGTAACTTTGTGCAGTATGGACATTGTGATTCTGTGAAGATGGTCACATTGACCATTTGAGCTTGTGAGAGAGCTGGTAAAATAAGAAGCAGCAGGTACATGAGCATGGTTGCTAGCTTTTAGATTTACGCACTGGCTTACAGTAGATAAGAAGGTTTAGCTTGGATCTGAAAATATGGTATTATAATCCAGGATGATACGATTACAAGGACAACGAGAAGAATAATTTAAAATCCAATCTTTGTTGTTTCTAAATGGAATGATGACCATTACGAGATGAAGGAGGTTATTTCCAGTATAATGTCATCAGAAATCAGTAAGTTCATTAGAAGACGTAAGTCATCAGCAGTCAACTAATAATGGAAATGAGAGAGGACTTCAGTAAAGTGAAGACGAAGAAAATGATGTTGTTGAAGAGATGATGTCGGGTTTTCTCTTTCTTCTAGTCAAAGTTGTTTCACAAATAGGTCGAACTTAAGTGAGCGAAACGATTCGGGAGATGAAGCTTTGTGGTTTTTGTTTGTTGTTTTCGTTATATATTCTTTCAATTTTGTTTTTAAAAAGATTGACATGGATATTCAGTATGGGGATTAAGTTTTAAAATGTGTGTATAAAGTGGTCAAAAAGCATTACAGTGACGGAATATGGTGAAGAGGAAGAGAACGAGTAAAGAAGACAGTTCGAACAGAGGAAGAGGAGAAGGGATCAGTTTTAAGCCTCTTTCTTACGACTAACTGACTCTGTTCATGGATCTGAAGCTTATGCTTCTTTGGTCAGTGAAGAATAACTAGTCGTCTAAGTATGAGATTACTTAAATAGATTTAATGAAAAAGCCGTTTGAAATTTATGCGATAAAATCAATGTGGTGAATGATCTACATATAGATGAATAAGATTGTTTTTAAAGCTTTCACTAAACATGAAACAGAAATGATCATACAAGGCGGGTGTAAGGGGGGGGGGGAAGAAGATGGTTGGGGGGAAGAAAAGCTGGGAGATAACTTGTTTCTCTCGTTCAACTGGCATATAGATGAACTACCTCAGCTATCCTTATAGCTTTTAAGCGTGTTTTATTGACAAGTTATGACCTCGAGTATATACAGGATTTTCTATTCATTTATGGCACCTGAACATTGATATCCAAGAGGAGTGAAGTAGAACAGATGAAAAAAAGTAAAAATGTTATTGAGATTGTATGAAGATGCTTCATCCAACTTGAATGTTGGAAGCTAAAAAAGCTCTGATCTATCGTCAAGATGTTGTCAATGTGGACGCGAAATAGAAAATTATTGTGATGAGAGGGTGTCGAACCTGATTCTAGTTTGTATACTGCCTATCAAGCTTAAATAACTAGCAGGAACTGATAGAATGCATATGATGAAGCTTCTAATATCCTATCAAAGAAAAGACTAATTTGAATAAGCTATGCAATTGTATGAAAAGTGTTTATGAAGAACAATCGGATAGCATCTAAGTACCAGAAGCGGAAGAGGAAGAAGAAGAGACACCCTACAATACGAAAATGAGAAGTATGGTAACTGTCCACTTAATCAGACCAACAGAGAGGCGGGCTATCTAGGGAGGAGCAACTATAACACACACACATACACACACATAAATAGTTTTCAAAGACATCTGTGGCATTTCCTCATTTACTGTTTTTATCTGAACCATCAAAGATGATTGCGTGGTGGTGGGGGTGGATGGACAGAGTAATAGAATAGAACAGAAGAATAGCTTCAATAGAAAAGAAAGTATTTTAAATGTTTTCTTTTACATTATATAGGGAGATAAGATTGAATGTGGCTTCTACGGAGAGAAGGGGGTGTGAACAGGTGATGGGTGTGGGGGGATGGGTATGATAGATACACGCCAAACTTGGATGAATGAAATGAAAATTTAATGTGATGAGTAACATGTGAGAGAGATATTCATAAAAAAATCAGAGATTTCAGAGAATAGAAAGGAAAAGCGCTTGTTGATGTCCTTGAGTGGCAAGCAGATATGGCCAAGGTAAACATGAAAATGAGAATCGAAAAAAAAAGGAAAAAGATAAAGATAAGCTTTGAAGTGTGAGTGACTTAGGATGTCAGCTGAAGCAATAATATATTGCAATCTTCAGCAGTTTTATATGTTTTGACGAATATGGCCTCTCCCCCCCACCCTTTATTTATTCGCCAACAGAAATTTACTGACTGTCCACAATGTGGATGACGAATGAAGGAGAATAGTTTTGTGAATTGAGATATATATACGCACTTCTATTGAAATCATTTGTGGTCAAACTATCTTGAAGTTGAAAATGGTCAACAACCAAATATTATTTGAACTTTTCATTTTTTTTTCCTCTTCTACTCCGAACAATAGATCAAAAGGTAATGTATATCGCTCTGTCTCTTGTAAGTGTTAGAGAGAAAGCCTTTCAGCGTAAAGCAATGTTAACATTCTTTTCTTTTCTTTTTTTTACGAGAAACATTTTTTTCTTCATCATCATCTTCATCTTCTCTTTCCATTTCTTCTTGTTCAGAAGTTTTGAGGACTGTACTTCCGACTTTTCGGATCATCAGAATGTTTCTTGAACTCTTGTTTCTTTTAGTAGATACAATGTTTTATAAAGTAATTCTGAGGCTATTCTGGTGAACCTGGAAGAAAGTACAAGTGTTCTTCATTCAACTTTTATTGTGCGACAGAAGGAGGAGAGAAGGAGGCATTAGAACACCATTTGGGTATAAAGGAGATGAGCGATTTTTATTTCACTCACACACA